TTAAAAACCGACGGGCACACTTTGGCATGCCCCTTAAAATTTCTGCGGAATTTTCTAGTTGATTACTACTGCACACACAGCTGCACTTCAGCACACGATGAAAAAGACAGTCGGTTCATACACACACCCTTCATAGATCTTGCCCCACAACATTAACTGGTTGTCGTTTATTTACCATATTTTGTCTGTGATAAACTTTATAAAACACATAGACAGCATTTAAAAACTCTAATAATAGCTAAAGACTCTTACACCTGCCTATCTTAGTATTTCAAACAACAAATATAACTTAATACAGCATAACAGGATTCTTCTTAGCACTACAGCAGAAGATAACATCCAAGGTCTTCATTATTACCACTGGGCTTTGATATCTTAGATCCTCAGGTTGCCTTTTCTTTCAAATATTTTAGGTACTCTATGAAAATATCTGCAAATAGACATATTTCCAGAGAATCATTTACAGTTGCTTTGGCTAATTTTCCACTAAAAAAAATTGTAAATACTGAACTGTAAATAGACGAGGAGTCCGCTGCACTAAGTGACTCAAAGCAAATGGTTCTGGTGAATTTTATCCAGGGATGACAGAATAAAAGAGCATTTAGCACAAATACACCAATTCCCTGTCATGCCATCTTTATTATGCATGTCAGGGTTTTTCTTTTTTTTTTTTTTTTTTTTTTATTTTTTACAATTCAATTTTTTTTTGGCTGACATTCTTCAGGTGTAATATGTGCAGAATGTGAGGGTTATCCTGAATGTACTCACTAGTCAGGGTTGAGACTGAGAGAAGCTGACTGAGGCAGTCACTGCGCTGTGGCAGTCTGCCTGCAATCTGGAACTGCTGGTGATTAGGACATGCTGCCTCCTCACTCTGCCGGTGTTTCTCACACAGTAGGTACACTGCGCTTCCTTTAGAGTGTATTGTGCTTTTTGTGTTCCTCTGTCCTAATGGGATTCTTGTTTGAAGTTCAGTTTCTGCATCTCAGATATTTTTTGTTAATTTGCTGAGTCAACTTTGCAGTGAGACTCTGAGACTTTGTGTTTGGCTGTGGAAGTGCTCGAGGCGAGTCGGCAGCGCGCCACTCTGCTCCCCTGTAGTTTCTGGAGATGCTGCAGGGAAGAGCCATGCAGATACAGATGATGTTCTCCGAAGCTGCATGCGTTAATAGCTTTCTGTCTGTCCTGCAACAATGACACAGTTCTACAGGACAAGTTTGCGAAACATTAACCCAACGTCTCCCTCTGTGTGTGTGCATGTGTGTGTGTGTGTGTGTGTGTGTGTGTGTGTTTCTGCAGTGATCGGACTTGGAGTACATTGAGTGAAGATGATTCCTGTGCTGATCTGTGCTTTGGTCTCCCTGAGTGTTGCGGAAACCAATTTAGACATTCTGTACCCTGAGCTGGAGCACTCCAGAACCATCTATGTCACAGGTAAGTTTTGTTTCCCTTCTGTTCGCTCACAGTCCTGAGCTCTGCTCTATCAGATGAGATACAGAGTTGTTTTAGTGTTCTTTGCTGTGTTTCGTTCATGACACTCTCTCTGCAGAACACTCGACTTATCAGTGTGGCTCAGAGATAAGGCTGCAGTCAAACACAGATATTGTTCTAGAGTTTGTGTACTGACAGATAAAAACTCTGTAAATGTCAAGATTCTAAAAGCTGTTCGCAGAGTTCTGATATCAAAACTCTGTATGTTTGTGGTATGTTTATGTGTTTTCCCACCTGATAGTCTAGTAGACGTGGTTGGAACAGGGGAAAAAATGATAATATATGTTCCATTTTCAGCTGCCTCTTCTCTTTCACGCTGCACTGTGTCAAACCCACCAAACCTTTTTAAAAACATGTTCCTCTCCTGGCCTGTGGTGGCGCTGCACAAAAAGCCACTAAAGGAAAACCTCAGTAGAAGACACTGAGAGCAACGTCCTTCCTCATGGAATGTAAACAAAAATGAAGTGGCATCAGATTTTAGAGGTTGTAAGATTTCTCTTTTGTTTTTGATAAAAGACCCCGGGTCATTTCTCCTGCTAGCGCTAGACTTACACATTTGTTTTAGTTGTATTTACCCAGAATGCCTTGTGTTTATAGTTCTCTTCCTCCTTTTGGAGTGGTCTCCGGTCCGGTTGGCGTTCATATAAACATTCAAACTGAACCAGAGTTCATTTCTACCGCACTGAATCCTAAGTTTGGACCAGAGTTTGCTGTTTTGGTCCACATCAGACTGAATGCACCCTAAGTCTTCACTGGGTTCTAAAATTCTCATATTAAAATTCAAATGTTCCACATTTGCTAATAACAAAGAAGTCAAATTGTAAAATCTGTATATGAAGAGTATATCCATGATGATTAGTATCCTGATGTACCATCTTTAGAAACATCAATTTGACACAGTTGCTTTCTGTATGAGTTAACTTTACTCTACTATGGATACATTTTGACCTACCCGACTTTATACTATATCAATTCAATGCTTGCATATCCCAGTTTGGAGCAAAACTCTGCCTCACACTTCAACCTACAATACTGTGGTATACAAAGCTGATGTTGACTCAGTGATTACAGGGTGGCTGGGTTCCTGTAGCTGCAAAATGAGGCCCAGTCATCAGCTGTTAGGGTTTCACCAAACATGGACAGGACATTGTTCCAGCCTTCTGCTTAATTTCGGAGTATTTTTGCACACTTAGGTTATGCTGTCATTTTCTTCCTAGAGAAGAAAATGACAAATGCTTTCTTTGGAAACCAGAAAATGCTTTCTTTGGACACGTTTCTAATTGAAATGTCGTAAACTTCGACATCCTAACTAGGGCCTTTAGCAACTGAGATTAAGTTTCTACTGAATTATTTTCTACAATTTCTCTGAGCAATGCAATGTGAGAGTGATTTCAAAAAGATTGACTACTGTCTTAAATGTTTACGACTTCTCAATTTTATTTTTGTCTTTAGAATAATAGGCTTCATTTTGTTCAAAAATGGTCCCTACATCCTTCATCAGATTGATGGACATTTTACCGTGCATTCACACCAGCCCTGTTTAGTTTGCTTTAAGGCGTGAATGCGTAGTCGAACTCTGGTCCGCCTACAAACCTCAGTCTTGGTTCAGTTGAAGTGGCTCTGATGTGGTTCAAATGAAAAGCAAACCAGAGGCCGCACTAAAAGCAGGAAGTGGAATATCACACAGGGCATTCTGGGTAAATACGACCAAATCAAGTGCGGAAAATTAGCGCNAGCAGGAGCAATAGATTGTAGTCTTTTACAAACGACAGAAGAGAAATCCTACAACCGGTAAAATCTAACACCACTCCATTTTTATTTACATTTCATGAAGAGGAAAGTTTTGCTTCTGAGCTTTTGGTTTCATTTCCTTCAGTGGTTCTTGGGGTAGCACCACCACAGGCAAGGGGGGAACATGTTTTTAAAAGGGTTTGGTTTGCTTGACACAGTGCAATGTGAAGGAAAACCACATCAGCTGAAAATGTAACAAATGTTGCAATTTTAGTCCCCAATCAAACCACGTCTACCTGACTATCACCTGAGAAAACATCTTAAGTTGCTTTTTAAGTCACTGCTGATGTTTGTCCTTTAAGTGGTAAAACAAGATGATGAATATATAATAGGATGTGGTGTGTTTCCACACAGCCTACTCGGTGCAGACTGTTAACAACATGAGTGTCATGAAGAGGCACAGGATTTCACTCTTGCAGTTCTTCAGCACAAAGCATGGAATCAATGTGCCATTTGCTGTTTAGCTAATCTCATTCGTGCTTAGGCAGCAGCTGGAATTAAACGTTTTGTGTGGAGGCAGTCAACATAAGCTCAGTGAAGGAGGGGAGAGTTTACAGAGGCAAACCCAAACTAGGGCCATCAGTTTGCTCAGAATATTCCTGGATCACTCTGAAGCTGGATATTTGTCAGAAGGTTTGTGGATAGGCCAGATGAAAGGAGGTCAGGAGGTGGAGGTTACCTAAAACTGCCTCAGTTACCTTTAAAGTCACCTCTGACTGTATCTTTAGTAAACATTCTAGTCCAACAAAGAACAAAATAATTTTATTTACAGAGAGCCAACGAAGGAGTGAAGGTCAGGTCTGTGTTATTGAAGTTTATTGAGCTATCTATCAAAGAAACTCAGTCAAGCATTAAAATACAGCAACACTTATGGCTGTTGCCTCTTTCAGTGTCTCCTCGTGTTATTTTTTAACTTTGTTTGAAGAAATTCTAACAAATGTATCCAAATTTGTTAGAATAAATCACATTTTGACTCTATTTCATCTTGCAGTCTTGGTTGATTAATGTGTTATCAGAATCACACTTTAATATTCCTCCAGTCATGGAAACATTTTCCAAATCTATCAGATTATCGGCACATCAGCTCTCTTCAGGTGAACCCACAGATGGAAGGTTAGTTGGGTAGGCCAAAGGGATTATAGGGATTTGAATTTTTTATTTATTTGTGTTTTTGGAAAAACAGATTTTTGGTTTGCAACTTATTGTATTTGTTTATGCACAGAGAGTACATGAGATTGTTGTCGCCTGCAGGAGACAAACTGTCCGGTAACACTTTATTTGAAGGGGGTTGAATAAGACTGTCATAAACATGACATAACACCTGTCATGAACATGAATAAGCCTTCATGAATATTTATGACTGTTGTTATAAAACATCATTCGGTAAATTATGACACTTTTAATACAAAGTTGACATTATTCAAAATGTCTATTATGACAACTTGACATTAACCAATAAATCATTACTGTTTAAACTTTACCTTTAATAGCATAAAGTTACCTGATTTTTAAAGGGCAATCAGTAATACTTTTATAACAAATTTATATCAGTAATGATTTCTTGGTTAATGTCAAGTTGTCATAACAAAGACATTTTGAATAATGTCAACTTTGTATTAAAAGTGTCATAATTTACTAAATGACACTTTATGACAACAGTCATAAATATTCATGAAGGCTTATTCATGTTCATGACAGGTGTTATGTCATGTTTATGACAGTGTCATGTCAGTCTTATTCAACCCCCTTCAAATAAAGTGTTACCAACTGTCCTTAGAGATTCTTAAGCGTTGCTGTTGACTTTTTATCTTAAATCTCTCTAATGAATTTGGGAGAAACTGATGATGTTTCTAATGTGTTTTTTTGTCTCATGTTATTAGTGACTACCTCCAGCTTGCCATGGTGAATGGATAGTACTGTAGGATTTCCTCTGGATCCTTCTCCTGACTGATACTTTTGTACAATTAGATCATTTTTTGTGAAAAAAAAGCACTACCAGTTCATGAAAACATTCAAACGTTTACAAAATGTTGGTTGTGTTGATCTTAACCTAATGAACAAATGGACTTCTGCAAACATTACTTTTGTTGTCCTGTTTGGTCTTAAATGTCAGTAAGTATACTGGTTGCAATTACAATAAATCTCTGTTTTGCAGAAAATGGGCCCAAGTTCAATGTGATGCCTGAACAAGCCAAGGTTGTAACGAGGCGAGGAGGAAATGTAACATTACCATGCCTGATCCAGAGAGAGCAGCAACTGCCACCCAGTCGCAAGATGAGGATCAAGTGGACCAAACTGACTTCAGACTATCTGAAAGAGGTAACAACTGATCTGAATTAGATGAAAATGCTTTCTATTTTCTCAGTTATAATGGCTACAGCAGGCCGGGAGAAGCTGAGCAGCTGAAGCCTTTCCTCTGCCTGCATCTCCCAGAATGCTGTGCGGTTTTGGATCAGAGTTCAGTAAAAGTATTGAACATTGTATCAGACATATTATCTATTAATATTTATAAGGTGTCTATCTTGATATACATTGTTATTGATTTATTGTTCAAATATAATAATGACATTAAAATAATTGAATCCTTCAGTGGAATTTCAATTCAAATATGAAACTAATTGTTTTGTTTAAAATGTAAGATAGTTTTTGTTAATGCATCATAAAAGCTCTGCAACCATTTTGACTCCTAATTTAGCATAAATATAATGTTTGATTAAAATCATCTCAGTGGATCATTTAACACTGAACTGCTTTCAAATAGCCAACAAACACTAGTCCTGATATCATGGCTGTTGCTTTTAATGCACCTACAGGCATTCATCCAAATAACTCAGATATTGTAAATTGACCTGTAAGAAGCTGACAAATGATGAGACGATCATCTGGGATTTTCCAGCTTGTTTCAAGGGACAGTGATGTATATCCACTTCTGAATTTGCAGAAAGTAATGTAGGAATGTTTCGCTCAGTGTTTTGATATTTAGGCATTTCAGACATTGTTGCTAATCCTATTTGACCTAAAACGGGAAACATTTAGTCTAATTTAAAGCTGCAGTATGCAACTTCTATAAAAAATATATGTTTTTTACATATTTGTTCAAACTGTCACAAGGTTGTGACAGTGTAAAATGAGAAGTCCTTTGACTGTGCTCTAGGTGGACGTGTTTGTCGCCATGGGTTACCACAAAAGGAGTTACGGGACTTTCCAAGGACGTGTCCAATTGCAAGGCACCTCCCCGATGGATGCCTCCCTGGTGATGACAGATGTCACTTTGGACGATTATGGGAGATACAAATGTGAAGTGATTGATGGTCTGGAGGATGACACGGTGGTGGTGTCCCTCGAACTTGAAGGTAAAATGATTGGGTGGTCGAGCTTTTTAGAACAGAAAGCAATGAGCTCTTGGAAGGAGTATGCAATGTCAGTGTTGTATTGTATCAATGGGCTCTGTCTAAATTTAGCTCCAGGGTCAAAGACTGCTGGGAGGAATGTCAGCAAATGTGAGCATGATGCACATTAGTGTCAAAGCAGTTTCGTTATGTTTGTGAGTAGCTGGGGACACCTGCTATTAGAGCCTAGAGCTAAAAACGCCGGCAGCAGCTGTGCTTCATCTCCTGTTATTCATAAGGGCCAATAAAAACTGAAAAAATTCTAGTTTTATTTCCCATGTACAACAGAATTATTACATCAAGGCTTTCCTGTTGTTGGCCTCTCCCTGCAGGTGTTGTCTTTCCCTACTTCCCCCGCTTGGGCCGCTACAACCTGAATTTTTATGATGCCGAGCGGGCATGTCAAGACCAGGATGCCGTGGTGGCATCCTTCGACCAGCTGTACGAGGCGTGGCGCGGCGGGATGGACTGGTGCAACGCCGGCTGGCTGAGCGACGGCTCTGTGCAGTACCCCATCACCACCCCCAGAGAACCCTGCGGAGGGAGGAACACTGTGCCGGGCATTCGCAACTACGGCCTGAGAGACAAGGACAAGAGTCACTACGACGTGTTCTGCTTCACTTCCTTCCACAAAGGTGAGGGGTCAGACTTGTGTCTGAGGAGGGGGTTTCTCCTCATGTCCCGATACCTGAATTCACCTTGTGGTTCAACATCTCATACAGAAATGTTTAGCAGAATACCTACTAATAAAAAAATATGTTTTTTTTTTTTTTTTACTTATGTGTTAAAACTGTCATTGTCAACTTTGATATGAGAAAGGTAATCTGTAAAAAGATCAATCTCCTCCCTAAGCTGTTATTGCCCATCTGAAGAAATGCACCGCTCCCGATCAAAAACAACAAACAGAGCCAGGAGGAGAGTCTTAGTGCTGTCAGCCTAGTGTACACGACACTTAATGTGCTAATGGTGGAGAAACAACTTTCCATGCTAACTAGCCGTAGCATTCACAGCAGGCTGTGCTAGCTGCAGAGAGGCAGAGAGCAGCGGGGAGAAGGAGAGGGATGATGAGCAGCAGCAACACATCGTCTAACATGGTTCTGGTTCTCTTATTGTTTGTGTTTTTCCTCCCAGGTAAATTCTACTACCTGATCCAGTCGTCTAAGCTCACCTATGACGAGGCTGTGAGGGCTTGTCAAAAAGATGGTGCTCAGATCGCCAAGGTTGGCCAAATGTTTGCTGCCTGGAAGCTGAACAAGTACGATCGCTGTGACGCCGGCTGGTTGGCGGACGCCAGCGTCCGTTACCCCATCTATCATCCAAGGCGCCGCTGCAGCCCCACAGAGGCCGCTGTGAGGTTCAATGGCTTCCCTGACAAGAAGCACAAGCTGTACGGAGTGTATTGCTACAAGGAAAACAACTAATCCTACGAACACTTACATCTATACATGGTTCACAAGCATGCACAAACATAGACGTCAAAGAACACTCTCAATGGGTTAAAATGCATAGAAAAGAGAATTGTAATAACAAGTGATGCTTTCACACGGGAGATGTTGCATCATCATTCAGGACCTTAAAATATATTTTACACATATATTAGATATTATTTAATCAATGCAAATAATCAGTTGGGTAGGCTGACGTGTGTGGGTGAGATTTGGAAATATAAAAGCTAATGCAAAAATGTCATACAAGAAAAAACATGCCAACAAATCTAACAACAGCTAAGTGTGTCACGGTTGGACCAAAACGTTGGGCACTTATCCTGTTTTCGGTCCCAACATGAAGAGCAGATGAAAGCTCAGCCTCTGTGAAGCTCGTTAGGCAGGACTCGTTAGCTGAACCGTTCCCGACTGCCCCTCCCCTCTCAACAAGGTGCTATAGCTGCATCCTACCATATGCTTTTTTTCATGTTTTTTCTACAAATGCATTGGACCAAACTTGGACCAACAGCAAAGACAAAAACAAATAGGAACATCTAGCTGTTAGCAACGTGTTTTCTAAGTATGTAGAATGTGATAAACTTAGAAATGTATTTGTGTTGATATTTTTTATACACTGTAGAAATGTTTGTTGCTGTCTCTCTGGCCAATGTCTTCTTAGTTTACGTAAAACATATTGCAGTATTAGTAGGGTGGACTGGGGCTGGGACTGGGGTTGGGGTTGGGGTTGGGCTGGGGTTGGGCTGGGGTTGAGGCTGGGTTGGGGCTGGGGTTGAGGCTGGGTTGGGGCTGGGTTGGGGTTGGGAGGTGTTTGCACTGATCAGATGACATTAAGGATAGTGGACGACATAAACAGTAATTTTCCTCCCAAAATGCTTTGCCTGAGTAGAAGCAGCGTTGATCGTGTTGCTTGGGTCGCTGTCACTTCTAGAGCGATGCAGGGACTGTAGGCTGTCGTAGTGTTTGGCTTCAGAGCATGGCTCAGCTATAAGAAGTACACAGCTAAACAGCTTCCAGAAGATTTACTCTCAACTTCGTGTCAATGCTTTGATAAAGTGTTATTTTTGATACAGTTACTGGGTTTAAGTTGAATGAGCAGAACAAGCCTTGTCATTATATTCTTTTGGACACAATACTTTTAGCATGACCTGTTCTAAAAGTTAAAAATGACTCTTACGTCTTCATCTGATGCTTTTTTTCTGTAGTTGAAGACTGGATGAGATGGTATTTGCTGTATTTTACGATTTAATTCAAAGGACTTTCCTTTTTTAATGCTCCCTAAAATATGGAACTTTGAGTTAGTTTCTTCAGTGGTTTAAATGAGTAAAGGAAACATTTTAAGATTTTTAAATTTAGTACATTTCCAAGATAATCGAAGAACCCATACAGTACGTGCAGTAAACAAGTATTATGGATTGTTTTAGGGTTTTTGCTTTTGTCATACTTAACATGATTTAGATCATGAAATAAATGTGAATTTCAGATGAAGATAAACTAAGTACAAAATGCAGTTTTCAAATGTATTTATTAAGGGATTAAAAACTATCCAAATCAATTAATTAATTATCTGATTGATTAATTAACTGCTAAAACATATTTTTGGAAATGCATGTCCAGACTTCGTTCTACCAGATGCACCTGCTATCATGTGAACAAATACACTTGTTTGTACACGAGCCTGATTGACAACACTAAGACACTCCCCTTGCCTCTGATTGGTTGTTTTTAAGATTGTTCAGAGAGCAACAGGAGCACTGGGCAGAAATAGAGGAGCTCCATCTCTCCACAGTTTATCTGTCTCATATTACACTCCCACCACATGGTGACAGTTTTACAAACATGTTCAAAAGATATATTGTTAAAGTTACATGATGTAGTTTGAAGTGAATGAAAACATACAAAATGTACCTAAAAACTAATCGGCATAATTATTCAGTTATTGGGATTCTGAGGGCTAAACTAGGTAGTTTAGTGAATTTGTAAAGTTCTGGTGTGAGTTAGACTGGCAGCGCAGTAGGAAGGAAAGAACCTGAAGGATCTGACAAAGGGTTGACTAACAGGAAGGTGTGTATGCTGGACAGGTGGTTGCTTAGCAGCAAGCATCAGCTGGGCTGGAGACAAGGAGCTCGAGAGAGCTGAGACAGAAATGACTGATCAACAGAACCAGACTCAGCAGAGAGATTAACATACAGTTAGCAAGAATGCATAGAAACAAAAACAGAAACCCTAAAACTCCAAACCAGATCAAACCAAAATCCTAAAACAACTGCTGTGTTTTTTTTTCTGACTTTTTGGCTAAATTTATATCACTTTTAGGTTTAAGTTACTTTCAAGATATGTTTGTCATGTTATTCAAGGTTCAAACAGTAAAAATACATGAACCTCTCTAAACCTACTTCAACCTTTATTTGAAGCAGAAACAGACTGACATCTTTACAGCTGTTTTTGGGGTTTTTTCGGTGCTCATAACAAAGAGAAATAATGTCTTTCCTTTTCCATCAATGGATAAATTCGGATTTCCACTGTAATCAACAGTTTAGAGTTCATAAAATCTAAATCTGTGCTGAAAGTGCACAGCCCAATCCCTAGGAGGCAGGTGAAAATAAAAACGGCCGGATGAGATTAAAGAGGAAACGCTTGGTGACAAAATGTTGATGGCACATAGTCAGCTGAGGTCACACACTGGATGAAGCCAGGCCTGTGTGTGAGCAGGGCAGATGTGCTGGCAGTAAGTGGCTCATGACATGCTATCTAAGCTCTCCAAGACCCTGTTGAAAGCGTCTCTCAGTCTCCCAGCATGCTGAGCAAACAACAGCCAAGCTGTAGCAGCCTGCTGTATGTGGAAGAAACACAGTCAGTCATTTCTATATGAAAGCAGGAAGGGATTCTTCCATATATGGGCATTATGTGTTCACAGGCACAGATACAGGTTGAGGTTACCAAGCTGAAGGCTGGCATGTTGCTACTGTCTCTGGCTGAATCCCTGACAAATTACTGAACATTATTTCATTTGATTTAGTTTTTTTTATTTCTTTCACCCAGTCATAAATATGAATAGTTCATGTAACAACAGAAAGAAACATAAACTAATAATATCTGCACCATATTCACATGAAAATAAAATGAGATATTCAAACTCTTACAAACTTCTAAATGAACAAAAAATAAACCAAGAATTCACAACAAAACATTGGCTTAGTCAACATCAAATCACTTCGTCATGATTATTTCCTAATTTCTCACTTTGTACATAATTTTAAAAATATTTTACTGAGCTCATGAAGTTTCAATAAGCTTAATTGTATAAATATTGCATTGTGGGATCTCCACTCCCACTTATGACAGCTCTCTTATGTAAAAGAAAAATCAAGTCTACATATGTTTTACATTTACTACTCCACACTTCCACACAATATGTCAGATATGGAACAAAATGTGAGTTAAACACAACATACATTATTTATCATTTAAAATATTGTTAAAATAGTTTAGGATATTTTAACTTTTATATGATCTTCTACATGATTACACAGCTGACCTTATGACAGCCCAATGTGAGTTATGTTTCCTAATTCATATCTCTGCTCAATGACAGAGCATTGGGACCATACTTAGAAAAAATAAAAATAAAACTATGAGAATAAAGCCATAGTATTATGAGAATAAATTCATAATATGGTAAGAATAAAGTTGAAAAATACGAGAAAAATGTTGTAATAATATGAGAATAAAGTCATACAATTACAATTATCTTATTCTCTTATGTTTATAGATTTATTTTCTGATATTGGCCCTAATCCTCCATCATACTGCCCAGCCACAGCACCTGCAAAGTCAAATTTGTCATTTGTACTTCTAGAGCCAGGATCCTCTACGCTCCCCAGGATGTTTATGAGTATCCAGGACAACAGTGACAGTAATACCTTGAGTTAGAGTGTGGCTCCAGAATAGTTGACAGACCTTATTTTGAAGAAACACGATGATGAGAGATCTACTGTTTTACAGTGTGAATAATTTATTTCTCAGGAATAACAAAGATTGGGAAACAGCATTGATATTCTGGGTATTTATTCACTTTATTTTCTTCTTCTTCTCTTCCTCTTCCTCCATGGTGGGTAATGTAATGAGTGTAATGAAAACTGCAGCTCTCTGAAAGGAACGCAGTTATTGAGCTGAACTATGATATAAGTAGGGACACGTTTGTTCATGATGTCCAAGCATCAGATGTAGAGAGGTATATCGAAATTTTGACACACAATTGTTGGTACCGTTGACCTTTACTCACTGTCTGGACTGACCATTGGTCACTCAGACAATGGTCAGACAGACGCTAGTGAAGGCCCCACATGGTTGGGGTGAAGTCGAACGGTTGACGCAGAGTCACATAGTTTTAGGACATTCATTTTCACACACTCCTTTTTGTTGGGGCTGCTGTACACATGAACACACCCACCAAATTCTGAGCAATCACACAATATTTTCGCATGGAGAGAGGGGGGGCGTAAAGTTCACTATAGGGGCAAGAAAATGAGGATGAGAACAAAATGACACAATTTTCGTCACGTGACTGCGACAACAACTGCTGACTACGTCAGTTGGGCCCGACCATGCAGAGCCCTTATTAAGTCCTGATGCCGTACGTATGTTACTTTATGCTCCTCTCCTGTCTAGAAGTGCGCTAACTTTAGCTTCAAGTCAAACCATTATTTTTCTGTGCTTAACTATGTTTGTGAGTCAGAGTATTTTTTTGGGGGATTTTCTGTATTCATCGGAGATCTTCGTCATTCCAGTTCCACAATAAGGAAACCTTTAAGATCTTGAAGTAAAAAGTCAACTAAATGCATCATCATCCCTGACACCTTCTTCATGTAAGAGGACAACTAATGAGGCAGGGATTATAGCAGATTAAAAAAAAGAGACGTTGACCAGAGGGAGGCTGTTTGACTCCACACCGGCCGTCTGCAGATGGATAGTTCCTGAGTGATGCAGTAATGCAGCACGTGTGTTTCCACAAGGAGGGGTCACACTTCCACAGAACACAGAGCCAATTCACCGAGCTCCCTACAGTCGGTTCTGTAACCGTAGTTCAAGCTTCCTGCCAAAGTAAAGGTTGCTTTTAGGAAGCGAATGAGAGCAGCTTTGGTGACGTCTTGGTTTTCATGTTGACGCACATGAAAACACATGAATCCAGTCTCACACTGGATTCATGAAGGCTGTTGTGTAAAACATGACAAGTCAGCTGCCAGGGCTCAAGTTATCTGCAACATTTCTACCATAACTGGTAGCAGAGGCATCTACTGTGATTATCTAATAAAATGAGTTTTTCTGTTTCATCCACAGTTTGTGTGGAAGAAAAACAGCTGAAAATAGCAAACAATATCAGCTTTCTTCACTTCAGGTGCAATAAAGTTTGAGAAAAAAAAGACACATCACAGTTCCCAGCTGTTGAGCATGATTCATACATTCCCACTGCAGCTCCTCTGTGACTGAGTTTTGCTGTTTGAGGGATAAACTGATGATCTTACACAAGCCGTCAGTCTGACAATAGTTTGTAACGACCCAGTTCTCAGTCTGAAAGTCTCAGTTTGAAACAATGACACTGTAAAAAATAAAGATTACACCAATATGAAAATCCAGATTGCATCATGTTCTTATTGATTTTTAAGCATTGGATTAATATATAGTGTCATCTGTAAATGTCTCCTTGTTTTGTTTGCTTTTATTTCATTTTTTTTTCTTGTTCATTTTTTTGGCATTGTAATTTTGTATCACACAATAAAAAGAAAACTGTAAAACATCGATTGTTGCAATTTAATTTCTTTTTTTTCATTTTTTTGTTTTTCTTAATATAAAATAAGGTTTAAATTCTCTGACAGAGTGAACAGTAAGATAACATGAAGATGTTTTAGTTATGACTGTTTTTGGTTCTATAGTTGCTTTAGGTTATCATATCAAATAATTAAAATCTATGAAAGATTCATATCTGTTTCTAACTGGTAGTAGTAACATTATTTTGGAGTAGCCCAGCAGGGGTCCTGACTTCTGGAAGAAAAGGCCTTCTAATTCATAGAGCTGAAACTCATTTACAGAGAAAAATCATCAACATATCAGAGGAAACATGTAAAAGCTGGTCAGGAATTATGAGAATATGTTGATTAATATAATCCATACAAATGATTTCCACTGATTATTGAGGAGAGTAATGATACTTCTATACATGCCATTTATTTCTAAAATTGTTTTCAAACTGTACTATAGTACAGACATTGTACCTGTGCTCATTGTGTTATGTTCATTTTGTGAGATGTCAGTCTGATTTCCTAGATATGCATTTATTGATTATACAAAATAACTTTCAGTCTAATTTAGCCTGGAGGAGTGAATGACTCCAAGCTCTACAATATCCGAAATATAGATGCAGTGTAGGTTCTGGTGAATAGGAGAGTAAACAGTGTTTAATAGTGTTTGATGTTGTACGATTTCAATAAAAAAGTATTTTTGAAATCCTCAGGATTATCTATTATTGATTAATTTTAATTAATTAATTAATTAATTTTAAGTTTGGTAGATACAGATGTCCATGACGCATCATGGAGGTTTCAGAACAATATAAATTGTAAAACATCTGTGGGACTTACTCATCTCTGAGTTTCTGAAGTGAATTTAGATCAGCATCACCTGATCCTGAGTGTGTACACAACTGCACACACTCAGGATCCATCGCATTACTGCACACAGTTTGCAGTGACTTCAAGTAGTAACAGCTACAAGAAACATCAGACAATAACAATATCGGTCTGAGTTCATTGCTTTTTCACCGCCAAACAGTACTCATGGCTTTTGGAATAAATATTGACATGCTTTATGTTGTCTAATTTCATGACGTTCATATTCATCTGATTCTACATCAGAAGGTCTTCAGACTGTAGAGCAGGAGATGAGAGCAAGAGGAAGAAATCAGAACCACAGCCTTTTCATAAAGCTGTAAAAGTTTTATTACAACGTCTCGACTTCAAACAGAAATACAATAAAACACAGATAATGAGATGTTGCGCAGATAAAATGGATGGAACAATGATTACATAAAAATAAGCCTTTGCACCACAGATATATCAAGTACAGTAACGACAATGTAGAAAAAATATTTCAAAAGGAGCATGAAAAGGTTTATATCTGTTATTTCTAGACTTCAGAACACAGATCCCAGCTGTGCAGCATGTGGATGAAAAAAAACCTCATGATGGAGAAACTACAAGAATTTTTACGGTCAATTTGTTGCACTGATTTTGAGTTGCACCATGTCAAACACATACATTGTGTATCAAAAAACAAACAAACAACAACAACAACAACAAAAAACTAGAAATGCACCATAAAAGACTACATGGTAACAATGTTTCAAATTCATATTAATGACAGGCAAAAATCTGTAAACATTAAGAATGATGATAATAATGGATAAATCACCTCTGGCCCAACAGCCTTTACTTAATCACAGTCCATTCATAGTAAAAGTATGCAATAAGTTAAAGTCAGATGGCTTCATAATACATAGCTCATGAATAACCGGAACAGCACACATTGCAAATTTTTAATATTCCATTTTTACCTTTGTGTGCATTAATGTCCTATTTTCACCCCGACTACATAAAAACTCTAAAGAGAAAACAAACCATAAAAACAACTATGCGATTAGAATATGAAAAGATAAAATTTGCTCTATATATTATAATTTCATATTTGAAAAGTGATCTACTTTGATATTTTGGACTTGTTTTAGATCTGCATTGGAACTGGCCTGTCAATGTACAATCTGCATGTGTTTCTGTGCAGGTAAGATAGTAACTGCTCACAACCTTTCTGCAAATCACCACCTTAAAAAATCAAAACATTCCTTTAGGACTTAAAAAATAAAAATCAATCAGTCAGACTGTATAAAAGGATCAAACAGGGCGTGTCTGACTGATCCAGTACTTGGTGTTTTATGAGTAACTTATCCTAAAAGCATTAAATAAGGCACCAGTGCAACTGCTCAGCTAACTCATATGTTGTTGTTGAACACACTCTCTCTGGTGTGCATCACAGCTCCCTCCATGGCCACACCCAGGCTGCCAAATGCATGCAGAAAGATTACTTTATGGAACATGCAAACTTTATGTTGTTAGTGCACTCCACCTGGTAATTTGTGGTAAATTGTCCCAGCAGCTGCAGGCACCAGTGCTTCATAAACTTCTGGAACTCCAGACAAAATCAAAACAAGATAGACACATGTTCTTTTCCTGGGCCATAAAACCTGGAATAACAGTCCCTCAGTCTGATCACAGTGGCACCTTAATCCTTAAAGAGTTAGATCAATTTATGTCATGTTACTTCATCAAATGATGAAATGAAGACTGAACTAACGGCCAAAAAACACATCACATCTGAATCACCAAAACATAATAAAACCCATTCATGTTCAATCATTAGTAATTCTATTCCAGTCTAAAGCAAAGTGTTCAATCAAATGCTTAAAGGGGCAGTTTTATGTAAAAATCTACGTTTTAGAGCTTTACATCATGTTATAATGTTATTCCCCCATCAAAAACATACCTGGGGTGTCATCTTAATTCATTCATGCATGATTGAAAAAAAAAATCCCTTAATCTCCATGGCAACCATTCAGCTGCACAAGACACCTGGGTGGACCTAGCCCCGCCTTTGAGACACAGCTCCTCCTCTGAGCTGCAGTTTCCACCTCACAGAGCAGCCCTCCCTGCAACTCCCATCACTCAGCTCCTTCCGACTAGCCAGCAGAAATTAGCAAACACCTGGTAGAACTGTGTATCTACTGACCTCATCATAGGACCAACACTGGTAAAAACGTTGTTAAAGGGTTAATAGAGGAGCCATGTTGTGATGACTTCCTGGAGGTGGAGTTTTTTTTTTTTTTTTTAAGAGACAGAGGCCCAATTTCAAAGCCTTAAATTACAAAAGTCAAATTTCTTTTAGGTCATATTTGATATATTGAGCATTTTTATAAGAACTGAAGGCAACATAGTCACTTAAATGTGCCTGGAAAATACATAATACTGCCCCTTTAAATGATGATGTACACAGATCTGGCATAACATTATGACATGCTTGCCTAATAGTGTGTCCGTCCCCCTTCTTCTGACAGAACACCTTTGACCAGAGGAATGTTGGATCCCTCTGGACCACAGAGGTGTGCTGTGATGTCCTGCACACCAGCAGTAAACTGAGCAGGTGTCAGAGGTGGAGAACAATCCTTCCATTTGTCCAGCACAACCTGCAGATGCTCAGTTCTATTGAGATCTGGGGAATTTGGAGGCCAAGTAAACAACATTGACTGAAGCTGTTCTATTGTTGCTGTGTGCCAGGGTGCATTGTACTGCTGTAAGGACCCAAAGTCATCTGGAAAAATCGTTTCCAACCTGCCTGTTGGACTGGACTGAAACATCCTCAACTAGGCATCACTTTGAATATTAGTGGTTCATATGCTATGCAGTCTTTCTGATACTAGTAAAGTAATTTATATTGACCAAATTCAAAACTTCATAACAAAAATGGTAGTTTCTTGGTGTGCTTTTACAAAAATCGTGTTTTCTTGTTCTATAAAAGGTAGAGTGAGAGAGTCCTATCATCCACATACAAAACCCTCTGCAATGTTGTGACATATTTAGCAAAGTGTTCTCAGCATGAGCATTTTCTAAAACTTAAAGCAACAAGAAAGAGTGTCAGTGACTCAAGTTGTTCAACATTGTATGAAAACTGAGACAATCGCTGAGTTAAGAAAAAAGTGAATCAATCCCAAGTGTTACAGTTAATATCCTATAGTTTTTTTTTTTTGTTTGTTTTTTTGTTGTTTTTTTGGAAAATACATGTTGGCACATCTCACATGTTGTTCTTGTGAGACCCTTCAATAGACAGGCGATCTAACAACACTGCCTCTGTCCATCGATGCCTCTGGACCAACAAGGCCAGTCTGCATTGATCTGTTGCCTTCACGATTCTGGAACAAATCCTCAAACCCATTCAGTGATCGGGGTGATCCCTGTGGTTCGCGTGCTTCTTCTGCCGGAACAGCTGCTGAACTCGGGCCTGGAAGGGGCTCCAGAGGCTCTGCAGGATGCCGTAGCTCTGCTCCTGCTCCTGGCTCTGATTGGCCTTCCCTTGGCTGTTGGTGTGATGGACGTGGTTCCTCATTTGCTCTTCCCTCTGGTTGCCATAGTGCTCAACAATCATTGAGTGGTGGTAGGTCGCAGCTGAGAGAGACAGATAAAAAAAAGTGTCAGCAGGATAACTGCTGCAGGCGTTCAGTCCCATTCAGAGCTCACTTACGGCTCATGCAGGTGATTTTGGGCGTTTCCCACTGGCCGCTGGCGCAGCAGCGGACGGTCGGGGTGTGTCTCTGGATGAAGCCCTTTTTGCAGTGATACCTGACCAGGGAATTGATCTCATAGCGGGGCTTCTTTGCTCCAAACACTTCAGCGTGCTTCACTAAAGGCGGCTGGCTGCAGGCCACTGCAGGGTCAGAAACAGAGAGCAGCTAGAGTGACGGACACGTTCTGTCATCAGCAATGGACGGTGCAGCGACAGGTAAACAGAACTCATGAACAATCTTATATGACATGTGACGAGAGATCAGTATGAACTACTGGGTGTTCAGTATGAACTACTGGGTGTTCAGTCGCTGAGTTAAGAAAAAAGTGAATCAATCCCAAGTGTTACAGTTAACACTGTAACACTTGGGAGCTTAACACTGGTGGTGTTAAGCTCACCACCATTCATGGTGGTGAGCTTAACACACTCTGCGCCTGTGCTCAGACACCAGGGGGCGATACAGAAAGACGTTCAGCGAAGTTCTGAACACTGAGGGAACTGAAAGGTTTGACATGGGGTTGGAGCCCACCTGTTCCCTTCTTGCAGGTGAAGGTCAGGTGGTAGTTGCAGGGCACGTCGTTCCACTGCCCCCCCTCATGCCAGATCATCACCACGCAGTCCTCCCCAGACTGGAAGAAGCTGTCCGGCTGGTTTGGCCTCCAGTTGTCATATTGCTGCCAGAACAACGTTTCATTTTAGTGACGAACAGTCAAACAATAATCAGACACTCAAATTTCACTTCAATTATACTCAGACTGGACTTTTGAAATTCAGATCTTGTATCTTGTACCTGCTCCTTTTTGAGCAAATTATGAAAAATTGCATACAGTGGGCATGATCATTTGTTTTATTTTTTTATTTTTTACTGTTTTTACTTTTTGTCTGTTATAAATAAATAAATAAATAAATAAATAAATAAATAAATAAATAAATAAATAAAATGTCCAAAAAAGTAAAAATATTGACTTTTGAAACTGAGAAATTTCCCTGATTTTTTTATTTTATTTTATTTTTTAGAAATTTTCTGAGAATAATTAAAACATTTCTGGGGGGGTTTCAAGCAAATTTTCAGCTTTTCAAACTCAGACATTTCCAAGTGTTGTAGTTAAAAAAATATCTGAGTTTTTGGTGAAAATGTACTCCTCCTCTTTTTTTCCTCCTCTGTCCTAATATGCTGTTGTTACTGGAAAATTATTTATTTTCCAGTAGTTTCTCACAGGCTCATTTTTCTTAGAACCGTTTATATGGAGAAAGGTCAGCATCTGATTCTTTCCTCATTCTGCCAACCATACTTAATGAATAAAAGAAAAAGGGTACAAAATGTACCCAGAAGCTTAATGAGTAAATGAAAACTGGAAGTTATTGCATAGTAACTGCTCTCTAACATCTGCAGACTCTGCAGGACTGAAGCTGCAAAACACCAGCAGCTATCATCACTCTTCTTTTTCCTCACCAGGAGCTGGATGTATTTCACTGAGCCACCAGACGGTGGCGCTGGCGAAATAACCCAGAGATCAGGGGTGGAGAAGCTGAAGCCTCATATTGGTTGGGATAAACAAAGAGGTTCCTGTAGTTTGGTTCAGATGGCGTCGGTAGTGAGAAGAAGTGAAGCTGCAGGTTTAAAGTCTCTGGGTGTGTCCTCTTCGTCAATGATGACACATCAAAACAACAGTTTTCTTGTTGCTCCCATCAACTAATCTGGCCCAGATGCACCCCAGTTCTCCCAGAACACACACACATGAGCAGCACACACACGTGTGCAGCTGTGTTCAGGTTCCATGTCAAACAAACACAGGTCTGCTGTCAGGGACTCCGTGTGTCACCGTGTCGCTAGGTCATCTGTGTAGCAAATATTTTACCGTAACTCAGCAGAGGAACGACTCTGTCTGTTGGTAAGGTAAAAAAAAAAAGTGAACATTTTATGTTAAAATTCTTAAACTGTTGCTGTGTGCAACAATCTGCAGAACTGTGAAGAAAGAAAACCTCCATGGTCTGTGTGTTTACATGAAGGTTAATGTGCAAGCTGCTTATAATAGTAATTTACAGCAAATTTCTGTGTTTCTCCAGCATGTGATCTGTGTGTGTGTGTGTGTGTGTGTGTGTGTGTGTGTGTGTGTGTGTTTTTATAGCCATAATCAGTAGATTGAACAGTATCTGATCACCTTTACCTAAACATCCTGAGGCGCTTTGGATTTCTGGAGCAGAAAATCAGTTTTAGATTCAGATTAACTGCCTGTCAGAAGCAGAATCAGTTAATTGTTTCAGCCTGCTGGAATATGAACAGTTGATTGTTACGGTGTGCTTTCCCTGTCCGCAGTGAAGCTCAGTCTGCCTGGCTCTCTTGCAACAAAAAGAAAAAAAAAAAAAAACCAAGGCACAACTAATAATTAAGAGTATTTATTTTAGTGTTAAAGGGGCAGTATGATGTATTTTCCAGCCACATAGTGCTGCTTTATGTCGCAATCAAGTAACTTTGTTACCTTCAGTTGTCATAAAAATGTTGCAAATATAACTTAAAAGAAATTTGACTTTGTAATTTAATGTTTTAAAATTGGGCCTCTGTCTCTAAGAAACTTGCTTTCTCCAACACTCCACCTTCAGGAAGTCATCACACCATGGCTCCTCTGTTAGCCCTTCAACAATGTTTTTAGCAGCGTTGCGCTGAGCTGCAGTCCCTATAATGAGCTCAGTAGATGTGCAGTTCCACCAGGTGTTTACTAAATGCTACAGGCTAGTCTGAAGGAGCTGCTCTGTGAGGAGGAAGGTTTAAAGCTGCAGCTCCAAGGAGGAGTTTTGTCCTTGTAGGCGGGGCTAGGTCCACCCAGGTGTTTTGCTCAGCTGAATGGTTGCCCCGGGAGATTGAAGGATTTCTCAAACATACATAAAAATCAAGACAACACTCCAGGTATGTTTTGGATGAGGGAATAACATTACAACATGAAAAAAGTCGATTTCACTTAATATTGCCCCTCAAGTTTTTTGTTTCAGCTATTTCATAATTCTACCCTTTTTCACTGCTAATAAAAATCAAAGCGGAAGTTTAAAATTTGCTCGATCCAGTCCACTCTGATCATTGAACCCATCACCCCGCCATTATCAGCTCACCATTGGATTTCCGTCAGTCCACCTGAAGTCTCTCTCAAACATTCGGTCATTCAGGCCGATCCACTGGTAGTCACTGCCCAGACCTGCAGAGGGATGGATGGATGGACGGCCTGGTCAGTGAAGCTGAAGAAGCAACGCAGCTCTTCCTGCGACAGACTCACGGTTGACAAAGATCTGCTCCTCCTGTGACAGGATGCTGGTCAGGTGGCCCCCGTGCAGACGACACTCCCTCTCCGCAGCATCCCACGTCCGCCGATGTTTGAAGTATTTGTAGCAGTGGGACTGAAACTTGGCCCAGCCGATCCCACACACCTCAGTGTCTGCACACACAGAAACACAGCATGCTAACCCCCTAACACACACAGTTCTTATAATTCTAGTATACGATTATGAATTCTCCATTTCGTGGTTGCATCCTCGATATAGTTTAGATGCATTTCATTTACTCAGTAGTGTTGTATCTGGTTGGTTTCTTCATTATAATTTGTGTTTGTCAGTTAGCCACTTAGCTACAGTATCATGTATTTTACAAGGAAATGTTCATTAATATGCACTGTTGCAATTTTAAAAATAAACTGTGCTGAATTAGAAGACAAGCTGAGGATGCTGCTCACTTTGCATGAATGAAAAAGGTTTTATTCTGTTGAATGTTTGGACTGTCCTGTTTATTATGGGGCTAAACCAGTCATTGTCTTCAATAATGACGATTAGTGATTAGTGTGATTAATCACAGCCCAAGATAGCTTATTTTTTTGTATTGACTGACAACACAAGATAAAATATAAAGGATCAAAGATATGAAATGTAAAAGAAGTGCAACAAAATATTATTTCATCAACAGATGGATTTCATTTTTTTCTCTGTTACATAAAAAGATGTGACATTTAACTTATCCATATAATGACAAGTTAAATGTAAATGTATGCTAAACAATTAGCTTTTGAATAAGACTGTTTTCAACCATATTTGTGTTTCTCTTTTTTCTTTTTTTTTCCTGCCACAAATATAAAGAACAAATTGACAATCATCCAACAAGTAATCATTCCATTCATGTCATATCATGTCACAAAAAGGAAGTGAATGTAGTGAGTCAACGACACAACGCAAGTAAATGTTGCTACGTGTTTGTCCAGGAAAGCGAATGCTGAAAGTCTATGACTCAATGCAACCTAATGGGTTTCCTTAGAAACTTTTTAAACTTTGAATAATTAACTGAGCCTGATAACTAGGATGCCTGTGTAGTTGCACTGAAATGACTTTTTCATAAAACGCCTTGAGGCGACATTCATTGTGAATTGCTGCTATATAAATAAACTGAACTGAATGACAATATTTTTAAATTATTTTTACAAAAACTTTCTTTTTTGCAACAGAAAAAGTCAAACAGCAGCTCTGCTCGCCCATCACTGGGACCAAACTTTGATGAAACGTTAAACTCCGGCTGAGCACGAATGTGGAGTTCATGCTCAGCCGAACTCCACTTTCGTGCTGAGCACATGGCGCAGCTCATCTCACACTGCCTGTGGCCGTGTGAGATGAGCTGCGCCGTTCTGATATGTTGCATCGCGAGGGTCGCAGGAGGTCAGCCTAAAACACCTCCTTGTCTCCTGCATCCAGGAGACGTGGTGGGAGGCACCATGTGGCAGGAATGACTCGGTGCCAAGCAGCTGCAAAAGCTTTCTGCTAGAATAATACAGCAATTATCTGTTTTTTTTCTTCCTGATGCTTTCCACGATGATAACTCTACAAGAGGACATCTGTGTCCCTGTCGCTGTGTCCACCACCTTCTTGAAACAATGAGGAGGAATTTGGAAGTTTCATCTAATGCTACAAGCAACACATTTATCTTACCAATGGATAAACTGTGCAGACAAACATTTTGAGGCTGGGGATTTCCTCACCCCTCCACTCCTCCACCCACCGCTCATAATGAAACGGGAAGCAGTGTAAATAATGAGGGCTTCAGCAATACGCCCAGCTCACGAGATGAGAAGATGCTGCATGATGTTTGGTTCATGAGATGAGATGAGATGAGATTTCACTGGAGCTCCTCTGCTGGAGGCAGAGATGGACATCTGGCCAATACAGCAGCATGCTCAGTGAGACTTCTGCTGAAGCTCTACAAGGATGAATCATGGTTTCTGCTGGATCAAGTTGAATTAACATGCTGATCTTCACAGGCTGCATGGATGAGCTTCATCAGTCAAGAGGAGTCTTGTGCAGGGTTACAAAAGTTTAGGGTTTGTTATAGTCTAGTTATTGTAAGAAACCGCATACCTGTTGAAACGGAAGGTTTTACATATTTTATACTTATCTCTGGTGTAGGGGGTTTAAGATTATCTTCAGATTAGCCGCTACATTTTCCACACATTCTGAACACTGCCATGCAGGTACTACATGACTTTTTACCAAAGGGTTTATAAAAGCTGGACCGCATGAAGAGGAGCGGACAAGCCAGGTGTGAGACAAGTGAGTGTGAGGCCGTTCACTTCCGACTCTGAAGACGAAACCTTTAGTGGCTTTAGTGCGAAGCGGCAGGAGGAAGATAAAATGCCCATCAATAGCTTTCATTTTCTTCAGGGACAGGAACGGTTCGGAAAAAGTATTTACAGTAAGTTGCAGCTGGTATGTATTCATTAAAAGCTTTAAAAAAATGTGTAAATATGTCATGCTACAACATCTTATAGACAAGTGTAGCTATAGATAGACTGTTTCATTGTTTTCGAAGTTAGTGGGTGTGGCTTCAATAAGTAATGACATAGTAAAGATTGTGGTTTGTATATTTCTACATGAGGTTAAATTCAAAGGGGTTCACAGCCTATCTGAACCTGTTTGTTCAAATAGGCTTGTTGTTTCTTTGTCCCATGACGCTAGTCTAGTTCTTTTAAAGCAAATCTTGAGATACCAACAACAATTTGCTTCAAAAGATTGCATACCTAACTTTTGAAAATACATGCACCTTTCCTCCAGATGTGAATCAAATGACTAAACTCTGCTTTTAAGTTAGATAACTTCTAGCCTGCAGTTTCACAAATCACTTTAGATTAGAAGTTGCATGAACAACCCTTTTACATCGAGATATAATACATTATAATCGAAGAAAGAATGCAACTGGTCTGCCTGAAATTAGTCCAGTGTTCAACATACTCAAGCTTATCACCTTTTTAAATTTACTTAGTGCTCATTTGGATACAAAATAACTCTTGTGGCTGAAAACCAGCCGTCAGTTCTGGAAAATCAGAATCTCGAGCGCCTCTTGAGACCTCTTTCAAACCTGGATGGAAGGCTGAGTAATGACAGAAGAATTGGACGGCAGGCTGAAACTAATCTGCAGAGGAGCCGACGCCCGGTGCTGGACATTGTCCAGCTGCACTCACAAATGTGTGCACAGCTCATACAGACCGATAGACAAGTTGGACTTAAGTGCATGTGCATATCGGCATGTGGCAGAAAGCTGGAATTGAATCCAAAACTTTCAGACTGTAAGACAAGTACCTTACCCACTGACTCAGTCAGTCCATGTGTTCTTTGAAGTCACCAATAGAATGATGAAATATTACTGTACATCACCCTGTAGCAATGCCTTCAAATATGGAAGTTAAAGACCCAATTAGATCCTTCAAAAGCTTTCATCCCTCATTCATCCTGCTCTTATTTTTGTCCCATCTTAGCCAGCAGAGAGATGGAGAGGAAACTTACATCCAATCCAAACACAAAAAGTGTTGTGAAATAACATTTACATTTGGTGCTCTGATTAATGTGTGGATGGATAAAACGAACTGTGATTATGTTGAATGTTTTGTTAAAGGTGATAACAAATCAGTCACCGGTCAGGGTTAGGTCCATAAATTTGCTCAGCTTTTGTAGCCTGGTAAAAAGCAGCCCCTTGTTCTACACTTTGCTTCATGTCTGGACCCTAAGGTAATGAGAGATGATCGCTTGCTACAGGCGTGGACTCTGATTAAATTTAAAATTTTACCCAATTGCTATGGTGACATTTTTAATACGGCAGTTCAATGCTAATGAGCTTACCGGAATTTGCCTGTGGTGTGAACAACCGTCCTCCACAGTGAAGACAGAAGTGCCTAGCTGAACGAGTGGTTGTTAAATGATATTTGGAAGCATTGCCAATGCTTACTGAACGACTTCTTTCACTTCCTCCGCTGCCATTGAAAAACTACAGGCAGAACACAATTCTAAAACACGCAGAAAGTTGACGTCATCGTTCACAGCTTCTCCTTTTGTTTGCTGATTGACCCAGTTGAAATTCTACTGGAGAAAGTCCAGATGGATCACTGAAGTAAGATTAAAATCGTGCAGAATTGTGTAGGAATGCAAAGGTCATGGTCAGATACTCGAAAGAAAAGTTCTAGTTCAAGTTCTTATAAACCTCAAATTTATTGACCTAACACTTCTTTCACAGAGCAGACAGCAGCATCAAAAGCCTGTTTAGGTGTTGTACTCGACCTTGTTCGCAGAGCTGTCCTGTGTAGCTGGGCAGGCAGAGACAGGTGAAGGAGTTGACCCTGTCCAAGCAGGTGGCTCCATTCAGACACGGATTAGAGTTGCACTCATCTACATCTGCAGACAAACAACGCAGGGCTTTATTATTACACATCATCAGTCTCTCAGCATGGGGATCGAGTGGTCGGCTCTCTGTGTCTGGGTACCCGTTTCACAGCGCAGGCCGCTGAATCCAGGTGCACAGACGCAGATGTTCACTGGGCCTTTCTCGAAGCAGGAACCTCCATTCAGACAGACATTGACTGAGCACGGCAGTAGGTCTGCACACATTAAAAAGAAAGGATGGAATAGTTATCTGAGCTGTGATGTCCAGCATCTGTTTGTATGCAGCTACATGTACTCAACTGTTCCAAACCTTATACCTTGAACATTCACAGGGCTGGGCTCCACAGAAGGCTCTAAATCAGACCTGGCCTCTGCCTGCTCTGTGATTCCACTCTGTACAGGGGTCTCCGGGAGGGACTCCACCAAAACAGGGGAGCTTTTACTGTCATAATCCACAGATTCTTCATTTGGGAGAGCATTAGCTGAAGGATCATGGATTAGAGCCCATTGGGGGGTGGAGAGCGTTGTCTGGTCAACAGGTATAAAAACTGCAGTGGTTGGCTCATCCCACATGCTAAGTGTGGAGCTTGTGGTGGATGGACCTGAAGTATGATCAGATGTTGGAGGTGAAGGCTTGTTGGTGACAGCTGAATGTTTCTTGAGATCTGGTAAAGTGACGGAATAATGCGTAACCCTGCTGGTTTTGGAGTATGTGTCTTGTGTTTCTGTTGTACTTTGGTGTCCAGGAATCAGAGGTGCCACATCTGGTAAAACAGTGGCACTGACCCCTGGAGGCAGGTCAGCCGGACCACCCTGATCCCCCGAGGCCTCGCCCTCTCCAGATATCTGCTCCGCACCTGAGCCTGTTTCTTGAGCTCCTTCGGCAGTCTCTGCAACTCCGTCTGTTTCTTTTATGACTGTTGCGTGTAGAGGCTGCTCAGTGTGAAGGGTGGGGTGAATTGATGGGGGTGTCTTGGCGAGGCTGGGTAAATCTGGAAGATAATCATCTTGCCCTGAGGCCTCCTCCTGTCCAGAAGCAGATCCTTCAAAGTTGCCTATCTGGGTATCTGTGGACATTTTCTGGGACTTTATACCTGGGGTAAAAGTTGGAGGTTCTCTCCCTCCTATCTCTGCCTCATCTGTCATCACACCAGTCAAAATTGAAGCCAGAGTGGGAACATTTCCATCTTCAGAACGTTCTTGCAAAGCCTCAGCATTATTGTCCGCTGTGCCTTCATGGTCGATGTGAGTTGGGCCGGTCTGGGAAACATCATGGACAATAGGACCTGGCAGTGTTGTAGATTTTATTGATGAGACTGTAGATGAAGATGTGGTGGTGGTGGCTGCTGCTTTTTCTGGCCCTTGAGATGAAGTAGTCTGTGGGTCTAGGAAGACTTTGGGGGTTAGCTTGTCATCAAGGACTGGAACAGTAACACCCTGTTGGTCTGTATCTGTTGGAGGAGTGGTCTCATCGAGGGTCTTGTCTGTGTGACTCTGTAAGACACTGTGGTCTAAAGGATGCACACTTAGATCGTCTTTGTCCCCCATGTCCACCTCCACAACATAAACGGGAGACGCAGTCTCAAACTGATCCCCTCGGGCTTCTTCTGGAGGTTGTGGGCTGAATGACACCTGGATGGACAGAAGCAAATAAGGAAGTTCATGAAGAAGAATATTGGTCACCTAGATTTGCTCAAACGGGTCAAACTTTCGCTGACATCACTGTCAGACCCTAACAGGAGGCACAGATTCATGTGTGGATAATTTTTCTTCTAACTTGCTGAATAGGAACGAAGACTTGTAAACTTTCAAAGTATAAACTGATGAGCTTTAAGATTAGTTGTTTGTCCAGCGGATGACCTTGTTTGTTTTTTTACAGCCGAAACTGAGACTCGCATAACTTTTGCAGTCTGGTCCTCTCAGAAGTCTGGCTGAAGCCTCTCCTGGTTCAACAAAGTCAACTAGTGGTGTTCTACTCATTTTGTTACCTAAAAAACAGAACTGCTGACTGCAATCAGATCCAACCAGCAGAGTGCACCAGCTTATAAATAAAAAAATAATAAACAGCTTGATGAACGTAGAATGTCTTTTAACTTGACAAGGTCAAGGCCTACTACTTTAGCTGATTCACTCAACCTACTTTCAATGACAGTAGAAATAGTATTAATAGAATTATTACTGCACATCTACTACGACAGATAGAAAAGGAGAAACAAAGGCTGGAATGACAGACAGTCTGAGTCATCAGGTGATTGAAGTCTCCTCTGTACCTCATGTTTTCCGTTGACAAACCGGATCGTCTCAGGCAGGAGTTCAGAGTCTTCATTGTTCAGGACAGCCTCACTGGATACCTGAGTGAGTCCGGAGATTTGTGGCAATAGAGGATGGGAGCCGTTTGATGGCTTGTTCAGGAAATCCAAGACTCGACTCACTGGAGGCAGAGGAGACAGAACAAGCTTTAACAGAAACAGACACACTCTGGTCTGACGTAAAAACCTTTGTATACTATTTGTACCAAAGTGTGGGCCATGATGAATATGACGAACCATGGGTGTTAAACTACAGTTCTCGAGGGTCCTTGTTTTTCGTCCTTTCAAAGTATCTGTTTCAACACACCTCAATCAAATAATTATGTCATTATCAGTTCTCTGAAGAATTTGGCAACATGCTGAAGATGCAATTTAGCCATTAGATCCAGGTGTTTTACACCAGGAACACATCCAAAGGTTGTCCACATTTTCCTGCTTTTTACTGCTTACAACACTTACCAAACTGTAGGACTCTCATATCATTTATAAGTTGCAAAAATACTTAAAGGAAATATTTTGGTGTTATTGGGTACCAATGTATCTACAAAATATAGTATTGCCATCATCACATTTGAATTTGTGATACAATTTCTCTTGATTACAGGTTTGGACTTCAGAAAGGTCGATCCTGAATTTGCATCGTCAGCCATTCATTTGATTTGAGGTGTGGAAAGTGGTAACATTTTTTATTTAAAGGGGCGGTATTATGTAAAATCAACTTTTTGAGTTTTCCATCATCAAAAACATACATGGTGTGTTGTTTTGATTCTTTCGTGTATGTTTGAGAAATCCTTTAATCTCCCATGTCAACGATTCAGCTGTGCAAATTTGTTTTAAGTCATATTTCATATATACAATATGTTGATAACAACTGAAGGTAACAGTCACTTGATTATGCTATAAAATGGCACTATGTAGCTGAAAAACACATACTGCCCTTTTACTCTGGGAAAAATGTGCTTCTGAAATCAGCTTATGTTGTTCTAAAATATATTATGCAGAAGCAAGTACAGATTGGAATGGAAATAAAACGTGTGAAGATTCTGGTTGTCCAAAGCAGCACAGAACCCCATGACATGTTCTATTACGATACAGACACGGTGTTCTGGACTTTATAAAGACTGTGTGAGAAGACATTTTGTGTGTGGCTCTTCTTGCCTGCTCAGAGGTTTAAACATCGGACCACTCTGTATACGGAGCATGCAGAGTGACTTGCATGAAATGACCACCTGGACTCAAGCAAACCCAACATGCTTCCAATATCAAACTCTGCTGATGCCAGGGATGCAGTCTGTTAAACCTTCAATCACTGTTTTGACATCATTCATGGTTTCACAGTTTTTATACAGTCCAATCCAGAGGAGAATGCAGAAAGACCGTTCTCCCTGCCTCACACATGTCAGTTGATATATGTGTGAACTAAATTAAATTGAGCTAAATTTTATATTAAATAAATTAAATTGAAATTTGGTGTAGGTTCTATGCTTTCCATTAGATTATGTCACTTTCAATGCCCATTATTAATGTACTTGTGTATCAAAATACACCTAAACAGGACTTATTAATTCAGTTTAGTAAAAATAGTAGTTTAATGTGTTTGTCCGAGAATGTATTTTTCATCTTTTTACTAAACATTGTTCATGGTCCAGCTGTTGTTGTCTCCAGATTTTGGTAATCTTAAAATAAGATAACCAAAATCTGGTCTTTTTTCTTAAAAAAAGAAAAAAGTTGTTTTTCTACTTATGTAACTTGTTGAAGAAATCTCACTGCCGTCTTTCAGAAGGCTGTAAAGTATTTTTTTGTAAGGTCTAGTAAAGAAACAGATTGGCCCCCAGCTGCTCACTTGGAATCATATTATGAGAATAATCTTTGAAAATGTATCCGTTTGTTTTCTCTTCTGTTTGCCGCAGATTTATTGAGTCTTCTGTTTCCATGCAGTCTACGGATCAGAGTGTTTACTTTGAATCCTGCTGGAGAAACACTGGTTGCTAATAGTTCTCTGAAATGTATGTCCTCTAATTACTGCATGCAAACTGTGATGAGCACAGTTGAAATAAGATACTAACATAAATTTATAAAAAGAAACCATTTTTTCTCAGTCATTGATGTAAATGAAACCATTTACATCAATCAGGATTACCAAACTGTGTCTCTCTGCTCAATACCATAACAATGAGAGAAAACTTTTCATAGAGAAGTTTTTTTTTAATTATTATTATTTTGCTTTCTTAAAAGACTTAGGGTTACAAGAACTAAATTTACGTTGCATTAAAACAATTTGTTTAAATCCAGAAGATTATGTCAATCTGATAAGTTAAATTACAAATTTTAGCTGTGATCTGTGTGTACGTCTTGTTTTTAAGTGCTTGTTTTTGGACAGTGTCCCTGAGGATCTGGAAAAACAGCTAGAAGTAAAATAAAATTGTTTTATTATGAAATGCATCTGTGGATGTATTTTAAAGACACGCCGTCTTGAGTGACATCATGTAAAAATTAAAAATAAATGATTCATCAATGATGACCATTGTCATCACAGGTGAGAAATGTAAGAATCAATACGGGGACAAAAGCCTTGTAAAGATGCTGCTGAAGCATCTTTAGACCGATTCATAGTGAAACCGATCCGATATCAATATCAGTATTCAATATCGATCTAGAAAAGAATTCTAGATTGGCTATCAGTGACAATGTTGGCGATGCATAAGTGCAGATCTATTCAGTCTAGAATGTAGAGTTATCAAGTAAATATTTAATTCAGTATATTTACATCTGTTTTAAAAAAAGAAACACTCTAAGTCAATTCAGCACAGTTTTTCAAATTCAAAATTCAAAAATACCTTATTGATTCCAAAGGGAAATTAAATACTACTTAAAAAATCATTATCAATTGATTTTTCAAGGAGTTATTTCTGTATCAGATCGGTATCGGTTGATTCAGCGCCTCAGATATTTGTATTGGGAGTAAGTAAAAAAATAATAGATCAATTCAGCACTGCTAGGTTGTACAATGTATTCAAATATACTGTCATCACAACATTGATCTGTGTGATATTCATTATGTAAAGGGCTGCTTTGAGTGCTTTAATTGTTGGCTAATATTTTCCTAGCATTATGAACTTGTATTTTTCAGGCTTGTGTAATATTCAGGCAATTAGAGTCCAGCAATAAATACTCACATTGGAAAAGAATGACATTGCCTAAAGCTCTGATTACGAAGATGACAGAAGAAAATAGGCAGATATCGCAACTGATATCATCTCAGTATTTACCAATATTATTACAACTTCAACATTTTTTAACACTGTGTACCGCTAATTCTTAGACATGTCCTGTGGTGTGATGAAGCTATAATTAAACATCTGACCATAACGATTGTTTTTGCTCATGGTGGAAATCGGCAAAGTCTGCAAATCTAAGAAGAGCAGCAACTGTGAAGCTCAGTGGTGGCAGCATGATTCAGAGGAGACATTGTTGCAGGAGGGACTGGTGCGCTTCACAAAATGTATGTCATCATGAGGGAAGAATAATATGTAGAATATCTTAAGACATCAGCCAGGAAGTTGAAGCTTGGGCAAAAATGGGAAAATTAATGTTATTATGCATGTAAGCATCTGAATTTAAAGCAGCAGAGGTGGAAAAACAAATCCCTAAAAACCTTTCTGTAACAAATTGTTTTGGTAATCCTAACTGACATAAAGCAGGAAAAGTTTAGTCTGAATTAATGTTGTCATACAGTGAGGGGATAAAAAAATCTCTTTCATTTTTTACATTTATGGAAATGTGTGGTTTCTGCTGTACTTCTTCTGCAACCAGTGTTGCCCCACAGCAGCTCCTTTCTGATATTGATTTAAAGCAGCCACAGATCATAAACAGTTTCTGGCCTCTGTTTGTTATGATTAAGACCCACCACTGCCAGCAGCTGCTCTGAAACAATGCATGCTTTTGTCTCCTCATTAGGATTTTATGTTCAAAATGGGAGAAAGGTTGTGGGAAGTTGGGTAAAATTCTGCTAGGAGGGATTCAGACTGACATCCGAAGACTAAAAGAACGCCATGCCTACGACTTTAAGAGACCAGAAAGAGTTTCTTGATAATTCAATAGCTTTAATTATGTCAAAGTTTAATGAGACGTAGGCTTTCAAAACCTATGTAGGCTTATTACTTATGTGATAAGACAGCTAGAACTGCTGAGGAGAAGCTAAATCACACACTAACCTGTGTGTGTACAGTGAGGTGTGAGCACTGAGTACTTTTCTTATTGAGAGATACTTTTAGACTTTCTTTAAATGCATGCAACAAAGCTCTTCAAAGTTTCCATAAACACTTTTCAGATTAGCTTTCTTTTCTCAGTCAGGTACACAGATATAAAATCCTTAAATTTCAAATTACCTTCTGTGAAAAAACTCTAGAAAAGCCCCAAAGTTTACTTTCACTCCGCCTTGCTGGTACTCAGGAAAAAGCCCAAAGTGTCCCTTTAAAATCTGTAGAATCAGTATTTTTATTTAATTTCTTCAACTGAGCAAATATGCGACAAGATTTATCATATTTCTCACTAAACAGCAAAGGTCGGCGTCATGGTTCTGTGAGCTGATCTTTGGGTGATTTGTTTAGTTTAGCCTTGGGACGCGGTGCTCCATCAATCTGCAAAATCCACAGATCAGAAATAAAATGTTTCTGAATTGTTGCAAGAAGTCAGAGGCGTTTTGATCCCACTCTTTGTTCGTGGCACAGTTCTTGGGCTGAATTGCAAGGAGGCCCACTCTTTTGGATGACAAACAATCCCACATGTATTGTATCAGGATATTTTATGTTTGCATAATACTGAATTCACTGAAGACCTTTTGTTCTCTGGACAAATGAATTTCCAGATGCCCCCAAAGGATTTGGATCAGTACCTCCTGAGGAATTTCAGCATGCCCTTGAAGTTTTTCTCGGATAGTAGCAGCGTGCCGTTCTGGCCGAGCGAACAGACCCACTCAGAGTTACCTGCTGCCAAAGCTGAGCAAGCTCTGTGCTGGTGGTAAATAGGGCCGGACAATAAAACAATAACAGTATTTATCACGATAGATGTATGATCAACATCAATAGATAAAACATCTGATAGAACATTAAATATATAAAATATTCACAGTAGTCCAATCCAGAACCACACAGCATTGTGGGAGATTTAGGCAATGGAAAAGTTTTAGCTGCTCAGCCTCTCACAGCCAGCAAATCAAAGTGAGTGGTATCAACTAACTAAATCTTTGGTTACCTAGCAACAACCTAGAAACACCCCCGCCCCCTTTGAACAGAAAGTCACCTGTTTAGCTACTGGTTGTCTTCCTTTTATTCTTTGATTGATACAGATTTAAACCTGTCTGATGACTGATCAACATGATGCTGAGTCGTCATGGCGACTGGCTGGAGCATGAGGGCGTGGCAGAATATTAAGTTCCAATCCCTTGCCATTTGCCTGTGGTTGGCTCTAGATCACATATAGATAATCTGATTTGCACCAAGCTGAATATGAATGACCTTTGTCGACCTCTAAAGAAGCCAATTTTATTATATTGGGATCTGACTTCAGTGTGCCCCCTAGATTATTCCAGCAGCGATATCTCCCTGACACATTGTCCAATCTGCACCAGATTTTTTGTGCATCATCAGCAAACACTGCTGCACACATTGGTGTGGTACATTAATGGCATCACTGAAGCCCCGTCCATCGAGAGAAGACACTGAAGATTATTGGGTGACTTCTCCTGCTTCCCCAGCTGTAGAAGTTTAAAACAGCATTCAGTAATTCTTGATAATCATATGACATGCTCAGAAGCCTGCAGGAAGTCTTAGCCAATACTTCACCACAAAACTGGAAGTGGCAATAACTTAGCTTTCAGCAGAACTTGTAAGAATCACCGCTGGACTCGTAGTGAACAGGATGGAAGAGGCTTTAGAGGATCTGCTGGGCGGTACATGTGGCTGTGATGATGTGAAAGTGTCAACGACAGTGTGGCAGAACCTCTGCTGTCGCCTTGAAGCCGAATTGGCACTGAGCTGCGAGAGCCACCCACTGCTGCTTGCAGATTTAATTTGTATTTGTAATCTCTGATCTCCATGCAATTTTAGAATTAGTGCCTTCAAAATGCTTTCATCGTCTTAACATTTTATATTTGAGTTTAATTTTACCAGCCGGGTGGTTTCCAGAGTTGTTTTCACCCAGTAAAGCATTTTGAAAAGCGTTTCTGCTGAGTTGGGAGGTTCTCAGATGTGAGAAAAAAGGCTGTAATGCTTTCCTCAATAAAACACGCTTTATTGTGTGATTTCATTCAATTCCTCAACCGCAGCTATTATAAGGCTGGAGTCAAACCCATGTTGTCCATTGGCAGTTGTATATCCATCACCCTTGCGCGCTCCAGCTTCCTAACATGGTTTGATTTACTTGTTTATCGCTTTTATTTTCCATCTGTGTTTCCTGTTGGAGCAGCTGTATGCAGGACCTGCATGTCTGCAGGAAAACGACAGTAAAGCGACACCCAGAGCGTTTAGACCCCGACACAAAGATGGCCAAGAGTCAGCATGTGATGATTTGGGAGTGGGAATGGGATGGGAAATAACAAGCTAATAGGTGCTAATAAAAGCATAGAGTGGAAGCGCTGAAGGACAGTGAATATCGGCGCTGACTGATGAGTCTGGACTGTTTCTGCCCACCTCAGCAGCTGACAGCCTCATGCAGACACTTTATGGCCTCTTTCAACACGGCCCTGCTCTCAGGTGTCATTTCACCTGGAAATAAACATTTCCTCTGCTGTGCCTGATCTCTGTGTGGATATTAGCACTTTTTCCTGCTCTTGTGGCAACATTTGAGGGAGGACAAGAGACCGTTTCCTTCATGCTGTTGCTATTCAGCCTGAGTGATGGACTGGAAAAACAGAATCTGGTGCAAGAAGCCGGTGAAATCTAAAGAGTTTTTTTTTTTTTTTTTCCGTAGAAAAGTTAAGAAAAATGACATAAAGACAGCAAATCCACAAGAAATGCAAAACAACCCGGAATATAAAATCTACACTCCAAGATCAAAAATATTACTAATTGTGAAAAAAAATGACTGTGCATGTGATTGAGCATGTGCATGTCCACTGAACAGGTGAAGTGATATTTCTGCATGTCCATGTGACAGTCAGCGGGGGCTTTGTGGTGACAAATCTACGTTTGGCTTCTACACTGTCAGTGGTATTTACTAACCTGACAAAACATCCTGTGCAGTCGGGCCATGTTGTCATGACGAGTCAATCTGATTTGTTATTGGTCTCAACATGAAAAGTCATCTTGCTGTGCTGTCCAGCCATGTTGTTATGACTGTGGTGAAGTTGGGTCTAAACATTTCAGAGCCTCCAGTTCATATGATCTCGTGAGTCTAAAGTAATGCGGAAACTGGTTTTAGTGGGCTGGAAAAATCAGAAACATCCATTTTCATACCGTTTTAGTGCCTTCAGTGTTTCATATTTTTAAATTATAATTTTTTTTTCCACCAGTTTGCCATGTAAAGTTTTGACTCTAAATCAGTTCTGACTTGTATGCCTCCTCTGAGAACCTACTGCATTACTAATAACATATTTTACTGTTAATATTTTCAATGTTTTCAAAACTGACTTCAATATGGTCATAACAACAGTGAGGCAGCTTTACATGGTGACAGTCAGCAGCAAATCCCAATGGCACAGCAAGACAACAGGCACAAAGACACGAGGAGAAACTGAAACAACCAGCTCCAACGGAGCAACATGATGACAGTTCATGTACAAACATGGAGAAATGTTTCGGCCACATTTGGACCCCTATACAGACAAATCTCTGCAAACCAGATAACCTGTTTGCAGGTCACAGTAGATAACTTGAAGCACTTAAGCAAAAGGGTTTTTTTGCAGGTGTAAGTAGAGTTACAATAAGTCATCAGTATCTTACCTGCAGCTGACTGGTCTTCCTGATCGTTCCCTGAAAGCACCCGATGAAGGTAAGTGTGAAAAAAGAGAAAGAGGACAGAGAGCAGGTTAGCTTCTCTGACACAACACTTTACAGTTTCAGTGCAGACATCATTACTGAGATGTTCTCACATTATTTTTATAAACTTTGAACTGGACGATGGTGTTTTTTTTTATACAAAGAACTTAAAGTGACCACAGCACATCCTCGTCTCAGGTGGTAAGGAGTTTTGTTCATGACTGAACATAAGAGTGACAGTTTTCTTCAGTGACCCACTTTGGATTCTTCATGCAAAAAATTTTGCAGCAGTTTCCCTCATGGTGAGCGCCCAGTGACTGCAGTGTGGAGCAATTTTTACGTGTTTATGACGACTGATATCCCTCACTTTAAATCTGATTATGTTGCATTGAGCTTCATTTTATGCATTGTGTTTTTAACTGAAAACTTGAGTCTCCAACTCTCAAAACTTATAGATTAAACTGAGGTTTTCTCACATTTTTGATTGTGAGTGAAAGAGACACGCTCAGAAACTACATTTATAATCTATTACACCTATTAGTTTTCTCTTAGACCATCCTATAAGTAAGTATACTTAAGATTACAGTACAGATGTTTTTAATTTTTATGACTCAAGAATTTGTCAGTTAATATGAATGAATACAGAATAATCTAAGTGTAGCGAGATATTGCTTGTTCAGCTTTGTCTACAACTTCAACTTCAAGTATCTGGTAGTGGAATAACAGTTAGTAGACAAAACAAAAGAACTCAGCTCAGATCCTGTCTGTGCTGCCGGAGGAACAACAGTGACAACAATCACAGAGTCAATTTTGGGTGACAAAAGCATCAAAATATGTGAATGGGAGCAGCTGTTCTGGAAATTATAAATCACAGTTTGAAACTGATGAAATCTTTTACTCATTATGACCTAGATATTCTGTATATTTTTACACTTTATTTCAAACTATGAACAGTGTTCAAGTTGGAGCTTTAAATCTATTGCACCATGTTTAGGTGGGGCATTTCATGGCCACTGTAGATATAAAAAAAAGTGATTTTCTGCCAAAAATAGATAATTACTGAGCTCCAAAAGTTAAACATTTTCTAGAAAAAGATTCAGAAATGTTGATATTAATCTGGGACATTTTCTAGAAAAAAAAAACATGAACATTTCTGAATTTCAAAAGTCAAAAATGTTCAACTTTTGGAAATTGTTTTAATTTCAAAAGTCAAAAATCATTGACTTTTGATTAAAATTTATTTTGCAAATTGTTAACTTTTGTAACTCAGAAGTTTCCTTATTTTTACTTGATTGATTGATTTCAACATTTCTGGGTTTTGGCAGAAATGTACTCTTCCTTTTTTCTATCTACAATGGCCCTAAAATGTCGCTATCGGAACATGAACATTAATGAATTTATCTAAATCTGGCTTAGCTGAATTTACAAGTAGTTTATGATAAGGATAAACCGGACCAACACTGATGATGCTCTAGAGCTGAAGGGACAGAGTCTCTGGTGTTTCCCAGGATAAACTGACATGTTTGCTGTATGTTTGGACACACTGCCGACCACACAGTCATGTCTACTTTCAATGAGTCAACATCTGGCTTTGCAGAGCAACTTGTGTTCGTGTGCATATTTGAGAATGTAAACCTAAAGGTAAGAAGCTGTTGGCTGTTTTCTGCTGAGACCCACCAGAAACACGTCAGAATTGTTTGCAGTATCTTCCTCTGGGATTTCTGACAGAAATTTCTGTGAAACCTTGTGCTAAAAGACAAAAATGTTGCTGCCCAAGAGTTTACACAAAGAGCTTACACAATGTAAAGGGATGCATGTTGCAACATATGACGAAGTGGACATAAGAGGGAAGCTGTTACAGTGGAAGTCTCTGCCTCTCTAAGCCTTGTACAGATCTTAGTGGTGGTACATGAGCCACCTGGACTGTAAAATACGAGATTGTTCTTCATTCCACAGGTAAATGTCGAGTCAAGTTTTGAACCAATTTGTTCTGTATTTTCACGAGAATTCAATACCACACACACAAATCAACACTAGACGTAACGATAAAGAATAAAAACAAACACTGTCACGTACTAAAGCCAGTTGTTGTGATGAGGTCTATGTGGGGCAGCCAGCCGGCTATGCATTGCTGTTACCTACTGCTGTTTTTGCGGTTGCCTACAGACACCGCTTTGCTTTTCCTTGATAATATTGATGATGCCATTTGACAAAACTTTATTGTTTGTTTTATAATTGGTGACCGTGCAATGTTTTTATGATCCAAAGTTCTTTGAACTAGTCTGGCCACTGCTTTGCTGTGCAATTCTGCTCGATCTTAATTTCGATTCACAGTCAGTCTGGGCTTTCTCCCATTGACTTGGATTCCCTCTGGTAGATTTTCTACCAGGCCATTGAGAACTGTAGTCTACCTGTAGTTTTAGCGATGGCAGAGGAGGAAGTGGAGGAAGCTTCCAGTGTTGGTCACGCTTCCAAATAATGAATTCACATTAGCAGTCGCCTTGTTTAGATCACCGTTTCTCTCTTCTCAGTGGAGGATGGTTGTTTACAGCACAGGCAACTTCTGGTAAGCTTCTGAACATTGGACTGGTGCATTACATATGACATGGCCAAACGTTAACAACTAGGTAAGATTTAAAACTTTACCAACTTTTACAAAAGCCTGAGTTGCATATAAGAAGAATCAACCCAAAGGGGAAGGAGAGCATTAATCAGAGAAGCAGCCAAGAGGCCCAGGGCAACTGTAGAGGAGGAGCTGCAGATGGAGTCCATCATGATGACACTTACTAGTCATGTACGCCAGAAATGTTGTCTTTATGGAAGAGTGGCAAGAAAAACAGCACTACTGAAAGGAGAGCATAGAAGTCCTGTTTGCAGTGTAGAAGCCATGAAGGGACAGTAAATACATGGAAGAAGGTGCCATGGTCAGCTGAGGCCAAAATGGAAGTTATTTGGTCTATATGCAATAAACTATGTGAGACAAAGGTTTTCCTAAGCTAAGAAAAAGATGAACAGAGTTAAATACAAAACCAGAGAGGCTGCAGGACAACAACACTAAACAATACAGTAAGAGCAACAAGGTTTAAATCAGAGCATATCCATGTGTTAAATGGCCCAATCAAAGTTCAAACAAACACATGGCCATAATGAGAATATGTGACACTTAAAAACTGACGTTCACACACACTTCAATAATTCTGAGTGAGCTTCAGATATTTAAAAACAAAAAGAAAGGTCAAAAATGACTTACAACTGGAAGTACAGCTAAAATGATATCTATACAAAATGTTAATTCATGGAGCAGAGTCAAATCTTTTCACTTTAAAATTTGTGAAACTTTTAGCAACAACCTATTGTTTTTGTCCCCTGTCATGATTATCGGTCCTATACAGTCCTCTGAATTTAGTGGTTACAACGTGGCAAAATGGTCAAATTCAAAGGATTTAAAGGTTACGAATCAGCAAGGAGCTAAATGTGACTAACTGTAACTGTGTGGCTCTTTGCTCTTTGACTTATTCACATTCTGCAGGTGCACGACTGCTGCAAACCTGTGCAGACTCACCTGACTGATTTCCCCTTAGCACATTGACGACGAGGATGTGGAGCGGTTTGTCTGATGAGTCTCCACTTAAAAACGGCTCCCTGTTTGGTTTCAGCTCCATCGCCGTCGTTGGCCCCTGGCGGACCTCATCTTTGAACACCACCGCAGGCTGCTGACCCACTTCTGGCTCGATGAGCAGGGGACTTGGCTTTGATGGGACGGCTTTGGGCGATGAGGTGGTGAATTCTCCAGCCAGGCTTGACGTCAGGATGTTTTCTGGTTTAACTTCTCCTCCCACACCCAAAGTGGAGCCAAGATCAGCCCGGACTGGCTCCCCACTGCCATCCGGCTGGGGGGTGTCCAGTAGTGAAACCTGATTGTGGGAGGTGGGTAAAGGAGGCAGCTGGTTAGGCAAAACGTCCCCTCTAATTGGCACTGACTCCAGCTGGCCAGGTTGCATAAAATCTTGAATATCGAAGTCGTCCAAGGTGGCGGAAGGAGTGGACATGTCTCTGATGTGAGGTGAGGTGACCAACAGCGGGCTCGCTGTGCCAGGCTCTGGCGTTCTGCCTCCAAGTTCAGATCTGTCTGGGTGAGTGGATGTTAGAACGTGCAAACCGGAGGCGGAGGAGTCGGGCTGGGATGCAGCTGGACTCGTCTGAGAGCTGACAGTTGGTTCTGGTAGCTTAGCTGTCAGACAGGAGGACATGAGACAAAAACATGTTTAAACACTTAATGCATAAAAACTGTACTTGCATAGCGCTTTATCAAAGAGCTTCTCATTACATTCAGTCATCCACCTGCTCACATGCTGATGGTGGTGAGCTACTGGACAGTAGTCACTGTTTTTATTGTAAGTAGTGCTTCCTTGTGTGAAAACCGTCCCAGTTAAGTTCTGAAAGACATAACGGTGACCAGGGATAGGAGTTTGTCCTGTAACCGGTGGTTTTCTTTGTCGAGCCCCTTCTCCGTTGTTGTGTCTTTGGACAAGACAAAGAACACCCACTGTTCGATTCCCGGCCCCGGTCTTTCTGCATGGAGTTTGCATGTTCTCCCTGTGCATGGTGGGTTTTCTCCAGGTACTCCGGCTTCCTCACACAGTCCAAAAATAATGACTGTCAGTTTGCTTTGTCTCTCTAAATTCTCCCTAGGTGTGAGTGTGTGTGTGCATGGTTGTTTGTCCTGTCTGTCTCTCTGTTGCCCTGTGCTGGGCTGGCGACCTGTCCAGGGTGACCCTGCTTCTCGCCTGTTGACCGCCAGGGCCCCTCAAGTCCCCTCTAGGGATAAGCATCTAAGAAAATGGATGGATGAACTTCACCCGCCTTGCCTGGTGGTGCTGGTTCATGGCAGCCTTCCCTCTTTTTTCCTAACTGCTTAGGTTAGAAATGACTGATCTGCTAATAGTTTGCAGTGATATGTTTGAAGTTTTCTTGCTCAGGCAGACGGTGTCCCGCCCCAGCAGACTCTGGGTCCTCGTCGTGTTTAGGATTTCTGTTTTGCTCTGTGAAAGCAGCTCCGGCTGCACGCTGAGCCCAGCCCAGAGATGATGTCATGTTTTTTGGCGAGCTGTGGACATCTGGCCGAACTGAGCTGCTTTCTCTTTACTCTACATTAACTCTCTCCTGCAGCTCTGCCATCGCTCTGAGAGCCTGGCAGAGGCCGCCACGCAGTCATCAGAAAGTACCTCTGCAGAGCCAAACATGAGAATGTTTGCAATTATACGGTGTGGAAAAGCATCACGCTGGGAGTGTGTGCTTCTATCTGCTATGAGCTGACCTCTTTATTAACACTCTGTTGTGTTATTGCCTCTTGTCCACTTCCTCTGTCTGTGCTGCTTGGGCTGAGGTCCAGCTGTGAAGTGTTGCTATCTGTGTTGGCCTGTGCCTGACGGGTTTTCCCCTCATAAAAGCTGCCCTCCATAAACAGGACAGGAGTTTTATTCTTCTCTTGCTTCGGTCTGAATGCGGTTTGCTTGCTTGCCGTCCTTCTCTGATATCTGCGCGGTCATTAGGTGGCTTGTTTGTGCTGAAACACGCATCCCCAACTTAACAGTTTGCAGCTGAAGTTAAAAGTTCTGGCAGTGGGGCAAAAGTTGCATTTTGCAAGATTTTCCATGACACTTTTTATGACGGTTCACGTAGTTAGCAGACAGACATAGTGGATTGATCAAATCCATAGAAAATAACTTCAAGCCTTATGCACTTAAAATACTTAGCATGTAATAAAAGCACCATATTTACTTTGTTTTTGTTTAATTATCTGTGTTTTCAGTATGAACTGTGTTTAGCTTGAACCTTTATAGCAGAATGCTCCGTGCTTGTCGGAGGGGTCTGGGAAGCCGGTTTGGTTGGTGTACTTGTAGAGGGTCCGGACCCCCAGCAGGCCGCCTCCACACTGAGGCAGGGGGATGTTCATGGGGTACCGGACGCTACCGTCAGACAGCCAGCTGTAGTCGCAGCGGCTAAGCCCCGCCCTCCAGGCTGCAAACAGCTGACCCGGGGACGCCAACACAGCGTCATGCTTCTCACACTCCGCCTTCGCCTCTTGCCAGGTGATCTTCTCGGTGACGGAGGATGGATAGAAGACTTCACCTGCACACAGATGACAGAAGATTCAGACAGTTGGGTTTGCAATTTCAGACCCATGAAAGTTGTTCCTGTTAGCTTCGAGTTATTCAGCCAAGGATCAGTCCATAAAGTCTTCCTTATACAGTTACAGAGACAAATGATCTGATCCTCATCTGTCTCTGTAACTGTTGTCTCAATCCTCTGATGGCCAATCAACACTGTGCTTAAACTGTCAACACATCCATGGTCATATGCTTCTCTAAACTTCAGCTTCTCTCCCAAAGAAGGAATGAGTGAAAATGTGTAAATAAGTAACAAAAATAGAGATATATAAAATGTCAAAAATATGAGTTAAATAAAGAACAGTTATAGATATTTCACAATGGAGACATTTTTTTTTAAAGTAAAGCTGATGGAACATTAAAAAAAATAAAACTACAATACGAATAAAGTGAAGAAACCAAATCAAAATGTCAAAATAAAATTCAAGTCTGAAATATTTAACTGCAGAACATAAATATTAGGAAAAAAACTAAAAAGATAATGTATTTTAACAGAAAATAAAACTTAAATGAACAGTGTTTACCCTGCAGCTCGTCTACGAAGCAGTACACATCGTATCTCTCTGAGGGGTCGCGGCGGCCGTATGTCCTCACACCCGGGCGGTGCAGAAGGTCACCTTCACAGCCAGGACGAGGCTGTGTGATCGGATACCTGCAGCAACAAGGAAACCTCTCAACCAGCCTTTCTATTGATTTACTTATTTCAAGCACAAGAGGCGGGTAGCAACTAATTACTTTTACTCACATTTACGTGAATAACCTTTTAGAAAAAATTTACTTTTAGAAGCAGTTTTACTACTCCATATTTTTTACTAGGTAATATTGCTGTGAAGTATCATTACTCTTGAGTATAATTTCTGGGTTCTCTACCCACTGTTAGTAACTTCACTGAATGAAAATCTAAAATGTTTTAACTACGAATGCAGCAGATACAACACAACACTACAAATTATGCAAAAGTGAAAAATCTTGTTTGAGCACAAGCTTTGTTGTTCTGCTCTTAGTTTCTATCTGCTGAACCTGATGATAGAGAGGGACAGATCCATCCAAAAATATTGATATTACTGACACGAGTTATCAGTATCAGTATCAGATTGACATTAGCATCATAAGATCGATGCTTTGTTTTCAGATTCCTTCTTGAAATTGCTTCTATTTTTGTAGTTTAGTTTCTAAGCTCTGCCTATAAATGTCTTGATTTGTTTTCTAATAAGAATTTTGTTTTGCACTTTATTGATTTAGAAAAAAAAGTGCACACAATTTTTTTTCGTTTTTCTATTTTTTCTGCTTCTCGTCTTGTTTTTAAAGTGTTTTATAGACACCTGTGAACTTTGTCCAAAGACTCTCCTGGGTTTTAACAAAAATAATTCAAAGAAAAAAAACAAAAATGCCAAAAGGTCTGAAGTTTGTTCAAATAACAAAGTTACATATTAAAAAAGTAGCAGCATTTGTATCAGTAGTGGTGTCAGTATGGGCAATGCCGATACTATTGGTAATGGATCAACATCAAACTTACAGTATAACACAACCTGCTGGCAAATTTGAAGGTGAAAAATATACAGTAAACACAAAGTACTGTACCCTGTTCCAACATGCATTATAATACTCACTGTGTTTGTTTATGAAGTTTCATATAGAAAACATTAAATTTGGAAAATTCTTTCTTCTGTCCAAATTTATTTATTTATTCATTTTAGCCTTTAAATACCAAACTTTGATGTAACTATATGTATTTTGTCTGTCTGATGATGTCATTTTTTAAATATTAAATCAGAGATTCTGATCAGTAATTTGGTACTTGAGTAGCCTTTCTACTAAATACCTTTTTACTTTTATTTGAGTAATTTCTTTGATAGATACTTCTCATTTTTACTTAAGTGAAAACATGTTGAAGTAGTCGTGCTACTCTTACTTGAGTACAACATTTAGGTTCTCTATCTACCCCCGCATTGCAAATACACCTTTGAAGTTGTTTTTTTCTCCTACTAGTAGAAAACTGGAATGGATGTGTGAATGGGAGAGATTAGACGTGAACAAACCGGACAGTGTAGTCAGCGAGCCATCCTGCGTCGCACTGATCGAAGCCGTCCTGGAAGGCAGCAGTCAGCTGGTCAGCTGTGGCCATGGAGGCGTTCACAGACAGACAAGCCTCCGTCGCTTTTTTGAAGTCCAGAGAGTAGCGGCTGGAGTTGGCTCGGTAGTGAAACACCACGCCTGGATAGACACCACCAAGGGTTAGGGGAGCAAAAATGAACTGAGTTAATGGGATTTCAATGGTTTGAGCTATAGTTGATGTAACTATTCTAAAAAGGTTTTCATTATCTTGAATAAGATTAAAACTTAAAGGGACAGTACTATGTCTTTCCTAGGCATATGCCATTTTATAGCACAATCAAGTAGCTCTGTTACCTTCAGTTGTTGCTCTATATATCAAATATGACTTCATAATATAATGCCTTGACATCAGGCCTCCTACTCTTTTTAAAACTCCACCTTGATGAAGTCATCACAACATGGCTCCTCTATTAACATTTTACAATGTTTTTACCAGAGTTGCACTGAGAAGTAACTCCTATTATGAGCTCAGCTGATGCTCAGTTTCTCCAGGTGTTTGCTAATCGTGGCTGGCTAGTCTGAAGGAGCTGGATGAGGGGGCTGCAGAGCTTTGACAGGCAGAAGCTCAGAAACTGAAGCTCTGTGGAGGAGCTTTGTTCACGAAGGCGGGGCTTCGTGAACAAAACACCCATGCATTTTGTACAGCTGAATGGTTGCCATGGAGATTAAAGGATTTCTCAAACACGCATGATAGAATCAAGGCTCCAGGTATGTTTTCAATAAGGGATTAACTTTATAATGTAAAGCTCAAAAAAGTTGATTTTACATAACACTGCCCCAACATAAAGGATGCTCCATGAAAGGAGGACAATAATAAAGAAAAGTGGAAAAGTGTCTCTCTCCTTCACAGTTATTCATAAGAACAGAAATTTGCTGCTGACAGATGCTGAATCAGATACATGGGAGTACAGAGAGAGAGCATTTCAGCTGTCATCCTGGGACTAAACGTATCACTGTATCCCTGTGTCATTAGGTCTGGTGGAACATTTCTCATTGATGGGAAATCCTGGCAGAGCCACAGGAGGACGTGAAAGGATGTCTGAGCTGTTAAATGGAGAGTTGTGTGTCTGTCATAGGGAGGACCTTTGTGTGGGTGACCCCCGACAAAGAGGTCTGTTCAGCATTAATGTGGAATCTGTGGAAATGTCTGAGAGAGAGAGAGAGGCAAGAGGCTGGATTTGGTCGTTGGATGAGCCGTTTCCATGGGGACTGATGGATGCCAGAGAGCTGAGAGTTTCAAAGTGCCTGTAGGGAAGGTCGGCTCACCAGCCGCCAGGGTTTATAACAGGGGTCATTTAGCAGCTTTAACGGGGCTAAGTAACAAACAGAAAATAAATTAAAACCTTACAGGGGATTTTATCTGTACTTGCAGCCATGGAAATAATTGGAACACCTGAATCCATTTATTTTGGATACTTATTGTATTTGTCTGACAGCTGAAGCTTAGCATTAACTAGTTTATTCAAGAGGTTTAAAGTGATGCAAAGCTTACAATAGCTGGGAGGAACTACTGGAGACTGATAACTCCAGGACAGAAGGGAGCAGTAGTCATCAGATCACCACTGGTTTGCTTGCTGAGCTCATTATCTGGTTAAGTTAGTCTGTTGTGATTGTGTTCAAGAGTACTGAAGAACTAAATGCATAGAAGGTTCTGTAGATTATGTCAACTCTTGATTTTCTGCAAAAATGATTGAATTTTTGCACATGATGTTCATACAGTTTGTCTCCAGCTTTACAGAACGAGCAAACAATAAACATTTTAAGATCAACAGCCTTCCTACGTCCAGCTGACCGGTAAGAATGCAGGCAGACTGAACCAGTTTGAGGAAGGGGCTTTGAAAGAGGCAGCATGTGGACAAGTTTTACTTCATGCATTTGTTAACGCCTTTAGCTTTGAACTCTACCAGCAGCAAACATCTGGAGGCGGTCAGAGAGTTTGTAGACTCTTAAAGGAGTCTGTTTATTTGCCCGTAAAGATTATATTGAAGGTTTTACTCACCAGAGACGCTTAGGTGGACAATGTTCTGCTTTTCCTCCAGTCCTTGCGTCACCTTGCAGAGGTATGGTCCTGCGTCTCTCACCCGGAGCTTCGTGATGGTCAGTGAGGCGTCCCCCAGTGACAGTGGGGGCACAGACACTCTACCTATGAACTCACTCCACACCCTAATCTGCCCGCCGTGGGCCACCAGTACAGGCGTATCCTTCTCCAGCTTCATCCACTGGACTCTGACCTTCTCGTCAGGAAGGGGTCCCTGTGTGGAGGTGGCAGAGGGACCGCTGGGAGAAGCTGGCATCGTGGGGAGGTTGCAAGGCAACACCACCTTGCTGCCCAGAGAGCCAGTTACATCCATGTTGCCAGGTATCCTCACTATGGTTTAGGGGGGGAGCAGGAAAACAAGTTTAGAGTGAGGGTACTGCAGTCCAAACACATTTTGCTGATAGATAGCAGATCTTCGATGGGGATGGGAGAGTTACGCTTCACTGCAGACTAATTCAACTGTTATGTAAAGATCATCTGTCAGATGTTACATTTTATTCAAGTTATCCTGAAGACATTTTACACAAGTCATTTAGAGGACACAGCAGACATGTGGAAGGAGGCGCTCCGGTCCACATGTCTGGTCAGCATGTATGCTGTGAGTGGAGGGAAACTAACACTGGGCTGCTCCCTAAGCACAGCATACACACTCCAAAACATTACTTCCATGAAGTAATGTCAGTGTTAATAAGAAGACAGATGTTAGTAAATAGAGGGGAAACATAGAAAGGAAATCACAAAAAAAAAACAACAACATACAATTATATTTGCAGTGAAAGTTGGAGCTACAAAGCATCGACTCACATGGCTCAATACAAATGTGAAAACCATGCATCATTTTAATTCTCTTTGATAATAGTCTATGTTGAGTGTGAATTAGTGAATTACATGAAAACTCAATAAAATAAGTAGATATTTGTGTTAGGAGAATGTGGAAAAGTTCAAGGGCTCATTTGAACTGAGCTGTTCAGCCCCGATTCCTTCAAACATGAACAAAAATGTTGGTTCTCCATCAGCAATGGAGAACCAACATTTAGCTTAAAACTTTACAATTCTAGAACAACCTTAGACAGTACCGTCTCCTTAGCAACCCAGAACAACTGGAACCAACATTTAGTTTTATACGTCTCTAATCTCTTTGTCTTTTTTTTGGTTTTTTTGTTTTGTTTGTATTTCCTTCTAATTCATGTAAAGCACTTTGAACTGCCTTGTAGCTGAGATTGTGCAATATGTACATAAAATTACCTTACGTCTCATTTTGAGAAGCATATGGTCTAACTAACTATTTTCACCTACTTCACTAACCGTGTCACAAATGTAGTTTTGGTTGAAAATAAAATGAAGATATATTCACTTGGATTTTTCTTTGACATACTGGCGAATGGAAACAACGATTTAAAAAGTGTCATTGAAACGTGAAACAACACGGGTTGGACACTAACAGGAAGGTTCTTCCTGGAGGACATGAATTACCGTCGTCCTTTAATCACACGGTTTGTTTCTGGACCAACTCACCTGGCTGAGGATGAGCCAAGCAGAGACACAGCAGACAGAGCAGGTGTGTGATGATGAGTCCCATCATCTGAAAGAAAGGTCTGAAGGTCAGTGTGACGTAAAGTTGTTTGTTTCCTTACTCTAATCTAGTGATGTCCTCTTTAGATTATTGGTTGCATCTTTTCAAACATTCCATCTATGTATCAAGGATATTTCTGTGAAACATATAAACCAGCCTAAATGTTTTGCAATCCCAACATTTGATAGTTGGGATTATTCCAAAGATTCACCATAAACAATAAAACAGAGAAAAAGTTAGTATTGAAAATTATTTTGTGTCTTTTGAACATTTGTGTCCAATGTGACAAGAGTTAATCAGATAACATTTATTCCTCTTGGTTAAAATACAATATTTTATTTTGCAATCTGACAGTAAGTCTACAGATGGAAGTACAGATTAGGGTGATGGGAAAGAAGCCTTTCCTCCTCAATGTCACTCCAAGAAAGGTTGGATAGTTGCACTGCCAACAAAGTTTTTCCATTGATTAATAAGTTCTATTACTACTTTTTGACACATCACTTTTTAATAAACAAAAATAAAAGCAGATTGTTTCCTAAATTGTTTGTTCTTTGTTAGTTAGCTATCGGGTTGTACATGTATATGAATCGGAACCACCAGTTAATGCTAATAGAGGAACATCTACCACTTTCTCTGCACCCCTGGCAACTGGAGTAACAATCATTCAATATACCAACCATGCTGATGTCACAAAACAGAAATTATTGAATCATCGATAAATGCCATACATCGTTCTTAAAGTGAAAAATATTTTGTAACTTTATTGTTTTTTAATGGTCAGAATAGCAAGGTTCTTTTTTTTAAACTGGTTGCCTTTATGAATTTAGCGCCCCCTCAGGGAACCGCCAAGCAATGACACTAGAAACCTGTAGCTCAGAGAATAGACTTTCAGATAATGTTAGTTTATAAATCACTGAACGGTTTACAGATCTGCTGTTGTTGCATCAACCTTCCAGACCTCTCAGGGCTTCTGGTTCTGCTGTGCATCCAGAACCAGAACCAAACATGGAGAAGCAGCATTCAGCTTCTATGCACCACACATCTGGAATGGACTTCCAGAAAACTGCAAAGATGCTGAAAGACTAAAACCCCACCTGCTTACGGCTCTTTGATTCATAGTAAGCGGAACATAAATCAGTGTATTTGATGCATGCTTGATGATTTTGATGATGGCATTTGACAAAGTGTAATGTTTACTGTTTGCTTCATAATTGGTTACTCTATTATGATTTTGTGCTGTGCAGCTCTTTGAACTGCATTGTTGCTAAAATGTGCTATACAAATAAATAAACTTCAGCTTGACTAGAAGCAGGCACATATTTACAAAAACTTTATTTGCCTAAAGTATAAATATTTGCCTCCATTGCTTTAATCATACTTTTTACAATACCACAAACATCCGGAAAGTAAAATGACATGTTCTTCTGATACTCTACAAGACTTTAATGTTGTGCCATCAAAAATGGCCTCATCATTATGCAAAATAATTTGCTCTAAATGTTGAATATCCTCACAGTTATGATCGTTTTAAAAATAATTCCAATTAACTATTTGCAAACTTATGAACCCAAGTTGCTTTAATTAAAACAAATTAAAAACTAACTAATCTAGAAGCAAAATTACCCAAACATTTCTGACATTTTTAATAAAAATATAGGAAAAAAAATAATATTGGTCTTTGTACAAACTGAAAATAACAGAAAGAGCAGCTGAAGTTGTTCTAGTTGATAACAGCAGCTGTGACACAGCCTGGTCATTGTGTTTTACAGAGATCAGCTGATAACACTGCCAGTCAATGTAAATGACATAATTGGTCCCCAGTGTCAGTTTCCCTAATGAGCTTCTTATCTCCCTGCTTCATATTGTCAGCATGGGAAAATTCATAGCCACCAGAAATCAGCCTTTTCAATGGCAAGACAGCAAATAAGCACAATCATTAAACATTATTTTTTGATAAAATACCTAAAAACAAAAATGACACAAGGTTGAGATACATTGCATACAAGACAGTGTTCAAGATAAAAATTCATTTTAGATACTCTTCCTTCCTTACCTTGCAGTCCTAAAATTCGGAGGGATTTATCATTTAAGACTTCTCAAATCTAACTTCCCTGCAAGCCCCAGATAAATGTCTGTGCAGAGCTCCTCTCAAACAGATGTCCTCGCCCACCACTCAGCGCTGGCTGCAAGTTCAGATTCACTTTGCAACCACTATTATCCCTTATGAGGTAGAGGAGGAGCCCGCCAGGCTAACTCGCAGAAGAAGAGGGAAGTGAGAGAGGAGTTGGAAGTAAAAGTTGGGGAGTGGTGGGGGGTTGAGAGAGGGGAAAGCCAGAGACTGGTCCAAATGGAGAGAGTAGGAGTGACTCACAGTAGAGTGGTGAAATAAAGTAAAATACAAAGAGAGTGACACATTAAGAGGCGAGGTCTGCATGTCAAGAACAAGCAAGAAGAGCATTAAACATCCAAAGAAACTTATAGATCAATAGATTCACAACATATCACATTCCATTTGCATTGCATTTATCTTCTTTACAAGGACCTTATTTGTAGGATATATAAACATAATAAAGTTTCAAAACCTTTGTAATAAACAGAGTTGCTAACATCCATCCATCCCATTTACCCTTGTGAGGTCGCCGGTCACTGGGCGAGAGGCCAGGTTCTCCCTGGACGGGTCACCAGTCCATCACAGGGCAACACAGACACACACACTCATGCCTAAGAACAATTCTAAGAGACAGTCTGTTTCCATGGTAGTAATAAAATATTTATAACAAACATGTTAGTTTATGTATTTCCTTGTCATTCTAACAGCTATATGAATCAGATGCTTGGATAAAGAGCATGCAGAGCTCCCAAATGGCCCACACATGTGCTGGACCTGAAGCCATGGAGGACAGACAAAACTGAATGAGTAGTAATGGAACATCTGGTAAGGGCACTATCTGAAGGATCTCTGACTCTAGGAAAGTTGTCCACACCTTCCTGTAGAGCCCCGGTAAGTGGCATTAGTAAATGTCTCCATTGCAAGTGTTGATTTGGAAAGCATAGTCTAATTTAGTTTTAGTCATCTGTCGTTATTTTAATTGCATTTTAGGTGACTAATGACTCGTTTGCATTCGGCAGTACCCAACTGGTCGGAGATAAACACAACAGTTTCCACTGCCAGTTGGATTCTCACTGGGTGGGCGGGGTTAAACCCAAATGCTCAACATGGCAACATGCTAGCATGCCTCAAGCCTGTCACAAACTGTAACAATTTTCTGTTCCCCAATAAACAGACTGTGTTGTGTGACACAGTCCATTGACTGACTAAGACGGCAGAAAATCCATCTTAGTCTTACATTTTAGTTGTACTGTGCCATTGTCCTATGGTTCTGCAAGAGAAGGGAGTCCAGTAATGGTGTGCTACTGGTGGTTATATTGGCCACTTTTACAATAGAAAGACAAAATAACAGCATCGCCCCGTACCATGTTGCTCAGTGGCAATGAGACATTTTTTCTTACTTAATTTTAATTGACTAAATTTACTTTCAGTCTTGGCAACTATAAGTCACAGAGAAATGCTTCATATTTAAAAGCTTCTTACATCTTTACATATAATCTGAACAAAATGTACATATGAAATGTTACAATTTTCACAAGCATGCTACTGATAAATTCTCAAAAATGTTAAATAAGAAAAATCTTTCATATTATCAGGGATTAATTGGAAAACCTGAAACAAGAAGTGCCATCATTCCAGTGCCAAAAGTGTTACAAGTGCAAGTGTTACAAATAATAGCCAAAAATAAAGCGGTTGAGCCTATTTGGTTTCTTAGATTTCAGTTTTAGCATCCAAGCTGAGTTGTTGTTCCATTCTCTGCATTCTGTTGTCAACCATTACAAGAGGTCTTCTATGTCTGATGTCTCTTGAAGCCCACAGCTGGTATATGTTTCTATCCACACAGGAAGTGTCTTGCTGCAGATTCTTCAAAGGAGCAACATAACCTTCAACTAAGAATGGACACATAGACTAAGTCTCACATTTTGATGCCATAGACAAGTGTATGACAGAGTAAGTGTGAGTACTTTGATACCTTTATTAAATACACACATACACACACTCTCTTGTAGAGTGAATCTACCTTGACATGGTAGGGGCAACAAGACCTACATTCTGTTTGCCAAAGCTGTCAGGACAGGACCGTTGACCCAAAGTCAGTCGTTATGGAGCTGGAGCTGGAGTTGGAATATTTGAGTCTTTTTCATGAGCAATGGTAAGATAGAAAGTTACAGACCAGTGAATCATGGCCTCACAAATGAGGGCACTGCATCAGTATGATCCAACCCTGACTTATGATCATCTTAGTTATGACTCAACCATATAAATAATTATTCTAGCAGGTGTAAAAATTCTGTTATGTTGGGAAAGTTTGGAGCAAAGTAGTTGCTGCTTTACATAAACAGACACAGAACTTACCAGGGTTATACACAGACAAGTGTATATCTGAGGTATTTTGCTTGCTTTTCTCTATGTTTGATCTTTTTTTGGTCTTCTTCGTCCATGTTTGTACTTCTCCAGTGTAGACCGAGTGCTTCTAGTTGTATGACTCACCTCAATAATAATTCTGCTAGAATCTCTTCTTGATTTAAGTACCATTTGGCAACTTCACTAAAGTGGTACATCGAAGGTCAAAGACCGAATTTGTAATCTGTAAGTTTGAAAATGATCTGCCTTCAATCCAGCTGGAAGATCTCAGTTCATGTTTATAATTTTAGCTCCACGACTAAAAAAGCCTGGAAATTACAATTTCATCCACTTAGCTCTTCATCTGAACCTCAACATCTGTCAAGAAATTTAAACAGATCTATTAGAAGTTATCATATAATCAAACATTTGCAGTAAAACATTTTATTGAGACCAATCAACTCTGGAAACTTGAGTTCTACCTATAATGAACTTCTTTAACTCATTTTCTCTGCCATTTGGCTCTGCTAAAGAATGTGGTAGAGCAAAAACAAACCAAGATTCCTCTCAGAAAACTTCTCCAGCTTAACTGAGGAAAATACATCTTGATAATAGCAGGCAGCAAATCTTCAGACCTACATGAATTCCTTGTGGTCTAGATTCAACAAGGTGGTGAAAATACCTAAGACAGTTTGCAGCACCACGAGGGTCCGCACAAGGTACTTCACTTTACACACATCTGACTTTCAGTTTCACTCCAGTCTTGACATGTCCAGAAGCACTCAGATGACACTGTCATTATGGCATGCATCAAATCTGGGACAAACTTCCAGAAAACTGCAAAACAGCTGAAACACTGAACTCCTTTAAATCAAGACCAAAAATAGGAACAATGACCAACATGTTTGATGTAAATTGATTATTTTAATCATGGCACTTGACAAAACGTAATGTCTATTACAGGTTTTCATAGCTGTTGATTATATAATGTGTTTATGATGTTTATGTTTTCACAATGTAAAGCACTTTGAACTGCAGTGTTTCTGACATGTGCTATATAAATAGACTTGATTGATTAAACCCACAGCCATCAGAACACACAACTGTCAGTAATGAATGACCTGGATGATTTTATTGCAATGCTAGTTGGACATTTCACATCTGTTACTTTCTAGTATGTGGCTTTATTTTGTGCTTACTTATTTATTTTTATTTTTCACTGTTTAGACAAAATAATTTTTCTGCAAGGATCAATAAACTAATGTTGAATCAATGAAACTCAACAAAATGATTATGAAATTACAGTAAAAATGTGATTCAAAAATAATAGTTATCACACTTTAGTACGTTTTACTAACATTTTTGTAGCAAAAGTTAGTAATGAGACTATGAAACCCGTTTTAGATGTTTCTTGTATTTAATGACATAAAAAATTCAAAAAGTCAGAAAAGGTTAAAAAAAACAAAACAATGCATTAATATTTATACAGTTTGAAATACAAACTACTCATCAATACAACTGACAAGAATCCATTAGGCTAGACTTGCATAAAGCAGGGAAAAACATAGCAAATCTTACATTTCATGTACACTGTTGTCTTTTTTATTGTAATAACACTCAAATTCCAATTTATTGTGAAATTTGACAAAAATATGCATCTTTTATGAAGGCCTTGATTCTCAGCATATATACAAATATATGTGTACATGCTCTTTTTCATCTACAGATAGCTCATTATTAAAGGGTTTAGTGTCATCACCAATATTTATTCAGTTTACTTTCAGAAAACTTGCCTTTGAGATGAATACCTGTAGCAGTGTAATGGAACAGAGGCTGTTTGGAAGTCAGAAATCATCAAACAGGTCTTCAGCTTCTGAAGTTCCTGCTGAAGCTGCTTTTGTAACATCTACAGAGCACTGGGGAGTCTGCAGCTGATTGGATGATGCAGAGGAGTCCGCCCTGTTCAGTACACAGACACACAGAGAGAGAGAGAGAGAGAGAGAGAAGATGAGTGGGCTATTGAATCTGGTCTACAAGAGAGAAGTTTGTCATGTGGCCAATCAGGTGAAAGACAAGGCACAGCCTTTCAGACTGTATGTAGATGGAAGGGCTGGTGTGTGAATGGTCTTAAGACCATTTGGACTTGACATAACTGCGTTTCCATTGATCATATAACAATTTGACATATCAAAAATAAATCTGTTTAATGACAATATGTCAATTTTGGAAAAAAAAAAAAAGCTCTCGTTTTTTTAATAAAAATCTTTTTTTTTTTTTTTTTTTTGGGCCAATTAAAAGTGGGGTTTTTTACAAAATTTCAATTGAAAAAATTTTTTCCATAAACCGGTACAC